GAGGAGGGCTACAAAGTCCGCTACACTCCCCTGCTGCCTGGCGAGCACTACATCACGGTCAAATACAACAATGTGCATATTGTGGGATCTCCCTTCAAGGTGGACGCCGTTGGCGAGAAGCTGGCCGATGAGGGTGCTCAGGAAACGTCGTCCGTCATCCTCGAAACGGTGCAGAAGTCGGCCAAGGGTGGCAAGAACACCGGCGTTCATCTGCCCGCCTTCAAGTCCGATGCCAGCAAGGTGGTTCCCAAGGGCATGGGCCTGAACAGGGCCTACATTGGCAAGCAGAATCAGTTCAGCATCTGTGCCACCGATGCGGGTAAGTGCATTATCATCAGGCATTCTGTACTAGCACTAACCTCTGTACATTATTCCTCTGTTTAGGCAACAACATCTTGTATGTGGGCATGTACGGACCGAAGGGACCCTGCGAGGAGTTCCATGTCAAGCATGCTGGCCACAACAACTACAATGTGCAGTATCTGGTGCGCGATCGCGGACAGTATGTGCTGCTCATCAAATGGGGCGAGGAGCATATACCCGGCTCCCCATTCCAGATTGATGTCTAGATCTAGCCAGGCGGCATATATGTATCGTAAAGTAGGATATATGCCTCTCCTCCCCCGTCGTATGAGTACGAGTACGAGTACGCTTTATTATGTACCGCATCCCCATGTTCCAGGGTCAAAATTCGTGTGTCTGTTTTCAATTTTATCTCTCTCCTCTCTCTCCCTCTCTTGTTTTCATCATAATTCTCTTTTTGTTTAATTTGAACTTCTTGCTTTATCGCGCTACTTATATTAGGTAAGTTTTTTGTTATTTGTATATACATGGAAGAAGCTTCTGGTTTTTTTTTTTGTTTTTCGACTCGAGAAGGTAAACGCGACGCGCCATTTTTCAACTTAAATTTTATTTGATTCGTTTATGTTTTCTTGTGAATACATTGACACTAAGCAAAGCTCAATACGTACAGATTGATTTGATAAAGCTAATCGCAAATAAATGCAAACGAAAAAAGCAATGGATATTTCGACAGATACATATATATTTTTTGGGCACACAAGAAGTACAGTACGACTACTATTGCAATGCGAATAAATCTCTTAAACAATTATTTAATACTTAAGAACACATTTATGATGGATTATTATGATTATTATGACGTATTATGTTTTTTATTATCACCTATCGACATTGTAATTTACGTGAAATAAATCAAACAAAATCTACAAAATAATTTTAAAACTTTCTTTTTCTCTTCTCTCGCTCTCTCTCACTCAACGGATGTTTTGAAAACACAAGAATATAATATAACAACTAAAGAACAATTGTTTAAGTCGAAAGGGTTAAACTTAAAGTTACATACATGTGTTTATATTTATAACTGGCGAATCAATCCTCTTTGGGATTGCCCAGAACGCTGTACACTTCCCCATAACGCTGGATGTGCTCGAAGATGTCCTCTTCGCTGGAACTAGACGAACTGGAGGTATGTAGCTCGTGCACCAGAGTGTGGGCAGAGTCCGGGCTGGCACTCAGAGCGGCCGCCAGCTTGGGAGTGGGGCGATAATAGACCGAGTGGCGGCCGTCGAAGCTTCGACTGCCAATGTGGTACTTGAGATACTTTCTGGCACGCCGCTCTCCAATGATCCGCCCAAGATCCTGCTCGTTGAGCGTAAAGTTGCCCGATCCGACTGAGGTGCTGCTGCTGTGCAGCAAGATGCCCCTCTTGGTAAATTTAAATGGCGGCGCTTTTTCCTCCTTTGCCTCACAGCTAGTTGTGGATGTCACCACAGTGCAGTCGGCCTCACCGCCCGCTTTGTTTGATTCCTCGTCTGGCACGGTCTCCGTTGATGAATCGAGTATGATAATTGTGTCGGGTTTCGTTTCCTGCTCCGAACTGCTCACGGCAGAGCGCCTTTTCACTCTCTGCTTGTTGGGTAGGACCCGAGTACAGGCCGTATCATTGGCCAGGGCGGTGGAGTTGCAGGCCACGCTGTTATTGTGGAAGAGCGACTGCGATGGAGACTGCTGCTGCGCTGTCGATTGTGGGTCCGGCTTGGACCTCTGGTCTGGTCGGCGCTTCAACTGCTCCTTTCTATATGTCTCCTTTGACAAGGCCAGGGCACGGCCCATCTCCTCATCCGTGTCATTTAATGTCGTCGTATTCTGGCCAACTCTCTTCATTCTGGACGTACTCAGAGGCCATTCATCTCCATCAGAGCTGCTGGAACTGGCTGCTTCGGCATTCTTTGGCACGGTGCATCGTTTCAGTTTTAACACTGGCATCTTTGCCGCCTGTCCATTGGGTGTGCATTGGGAATCTGGCGAATGATCCACTTCTTCGGTGATTTGAGCCAAACTTGAAGGACAATTCGAATTGATTTTCTTCTTGGCGGATGATCTGGGTGTCAATCGCTTCTCCTTGGGCGCGACAGGTGTGGAGATCTCTACGGGTGATTCTGTTTTTACGATGTTCTGAGAATTGAAGAAATCTCCATCGGTGGTGGGAATTGTTGGCGCAAGGCAAGGCTTATTCTTGGCGACACTGGCTTTCGGTATTTCTTTGGCTGGCCCCATCTTTTTTGGTTCCATTAAACTTTTTTCATCTTCGGAAGTAACGCTCTTGATCCTGCCAACTTCTAGCGTCACTCCCCTCACAGGCTTGGCTCCATCGTCGTCGAGGATTTTAGGCAAACTTGAGGAATCTTTTGTCTTGGCCACGTCTTCGCTGATTGGAGGCAAACTCTTTGACTTGCCGGACAACATAGTTTTCTTCTTTGGCGCCTTTTCCACAGAAGACTTTGGTTTGACCGCTTTCCTAGTTTTGGCCACCTTTTTCTGTTTTACCTCCGAGAAACTCATTAATCGGCTTCTACCTCGGAGTTCGTTTTCATCTGAAGAATCATCCTCTGGCACCGCCTGAAGTTCGTGGGCAGCCATTTCGTCTTCGGAATTTGTTTTCTTGGCCACGACTTTGCTGATTGGAGGCAAATTCATTGGCTTGGCTTTCTTTTTGGATGCGTTTTCCACAGATGAGATCGCTGGAGTGTGTGGCTCCCTTCTTTCGGCGCCACTCAATGGTTTCCTGCGCTCCTTGCGTGCGTCTTCATCGGAAGTGTCGCTGTCAATTAAATTTCTTATCACTAGACGAGTCCCCTCACGCCTTGGAGTATATAATGCTGCAGCGGAAGTTGCCTTCCGAATCAATCTATGCGGGGCTGAACCCATGACACGGTCTCGGCACTTGGAGCGAACGGTCTGTGGTGTTTTCCGCAGCGTGAAATGTTTCTTGATGCAGGTTAGACGATTGCTGCACTTGGTAGGCGTCCCGGTGGGCACGGGACTATTGCAGTTCTCCACAACCCATTCCTCCGTCGAGCTGTTGGCAATGTGCACCACGTCCGCGCACAGCCGGTCGCTGTTGCAGCAGCTGCACTCGTTCTCCATTAGACGTGGACGCAGGTCCAGCTCCTCCTGGAAGCTTTGTGGACGTCGCACGCGGTGCATGGACCGTGATGATGCAGCTTGGTGATGATATTCGCGCTGGCCGCGATATGAACAGCATTCATATGCGCTTCTGGTCAGCACACGTTTTAGGCACGATCTGCAGTCGCACCCACTTAATGTGGCATCCTCGTCCTCGCTTGACGGCGACCCAAACAGCGATGAATCGGCGCGACGCTTACGCAGATGCTTGAGCCGCGTGTGATGGCTGTGGTGGCTGCTGCTGCTGTAGGAGTAGTGCCTGGGACTGCTGGTGAGATAGGCAAGCTTCCGCTCCCTTTCGCGGCGGCGATGCAGCAAAGCCTGCATGTGATGGCGGTGCTCCTGTTCGTCGTCGTAGGCGTACTTGGCACGCAGTTCGTCGCGCTTGCGCGAATGGGTGCGATACATCTTGATGGTGGTCATGTTGGTCATCTTGGGGATGGGTGTGCTGCGTTTGCGACTCTGCATTATATAGCGGGCCGTGTCGATGGAGTGCAGCGACTCGTTGTCGCTGGGATCGGAATGGGAACGTTCATGACTGCAATCGTACCTCTGGGAACTCTCCTCCAGATAGACACTGTTGTTGCGGCGCATCCATTGGCCCACATGCTGTTCAATCTTTTGCGCATCGAAGGTGTCCAGTATTTGATCCAGCCCAGCCGCCTTCCACTTGCGCTTGTGCTCCTGAACAATGGGCATCGTTTGATTCAGAATCTCCTCCATTTCGGCCGTTTTCTCTTTGTTCTCGCCTGCGCACAAAATCATCGTCAGCTCCGCCTTGCTCATGGCTGCCGTTGCATTTACGTTCCCCATGCCCAGGTCCGTTTCCAGCAGTTCATCCTCGGCCGCCTCCTCATCCTCCTGCACATCCGGATCTCTTTCCTCGCCCTTGTACAGTTTCTCAATGTCCCCCAAGTCAACCTCATTGCCATCGCCTGCTTCCCCGCAGTGCTACAAAGAAATCGCTTAGCATTCGGAGCGCCATTTCGCTGCAAAGCAAAAGAGAGCCTCACCTTCATCATGCTGGACCAGCTTTTGGAGCGCTCGTAGACCAGAGCCTCCAATGTTTCCTCGTCCAATAGGGCGTGCGACATGTTTGCATGTGCAGCGTTCTGCTAATTCCTTATTTAATGAACAAAAAACGCGCCACAAACCGAAAATCAAGAAGATGCGAAATAAAGCAAAATGGCCATCAGTGTGACCAAAAATAAATACCATTTAAATACCACAAAAAAACCAGGGAAACGCACTTAACACCCCTCTATTAAAAAAGTTGAGCACCCTTTGTTAAACCACGGAAAATAATACTGTTTGTAAGGGCTCCTTGTAGCTCTTTACTTTCAAAACAAAACAAAAACGGACTAATCGCTAGAATATACCGCCTGACACTCAGAATTATACCAAAAAGTCGCCTATTCGATACAAAAAAATCGAGTACTCTCGCAAGTCTGGCATCTCTTAAATGGAAATTCAAATTGGCCCGAGTGTGCTGCCAGACACATCAAGTGTAAAGTGGCAACGCCGGCTTCGGCGGTCTCTCCGACTCGATCGAGGGTCCCAGCAAGGCCGAGATCCAGTGCACGGACAAGGACGATGGCACGCTCAACATCTCGTACAAGCCCACCGAGCCGGGCTACTATATTGTCAACCTAAAGTTCGCCGATCATCACGTGGAGGGATCACCCTTCACCGTCAAGGTGGCCGGCGAGGGCAGCAACCGCAAGCGCGAGAAGATCCAGCGCGAGCGCGACGCCGTGCCCATCACGGAGATCGGCAGCCAGTGCAAGCTGACGTTCAAGATGCCCGGCATCACCTCGTTCGATCTGGCCGCCTGCGTCACCTCGCCCAGCAACGTCACCGAGGATGCCGAGATCCAGGAGATCGAGGACGGCCTCTACTCTGTGCACTTTGTGCCAAAGGAGCTGGGCGTGCACACCGTTTCGGTGCGCTACTCCGAGATGCACATACCCGGCTCTCCCTTCCAGTTCACTGTCGGTCCCCTGCGCGACTCGGGCAGCCATTTGGTCAAGGCCGGAGGCTCCGGCCTCGAGCGCGGCGTCGTCGGGGAGGCAGCCGAGTTCAATGTGTGGACCCGTGAGGCGGGCGGTGGCTCGCTGGCCATCTCCGTGGAGGGTCCCAGCAAGGCAGATATCGAGTTCAAGGATCGCAAGGACGGCAGCTGCGATGTCTCGTACAAGGTGACGGAGCCGGGAGAGTACCGCGTGGGGCTCAAGTTCAACGATCGCCACATACCCGACTCACCCTTCAAGGTGTACGTCTCTCCGGATGCGGGTGATGCCCACAAGCTGGAGGTGCAGCAGTTCCCGCAGGGCAACATCCAGGCGGATGCCCCCTACCAGTTTATGGTGCGCAAGAACGGTGCCAAGGGCGATCTGGATGCCAGAATTGTGGCCCCATCGGGCACCGACGACGATTGCTTCATCCAGTCGATCGACGGCGAGATGACCTCGGTGCGCTTCTATCCACGCGAGAACGGAATCCATGTCATCCACGTCAAGTTCAATTGCGTCCACATACCCGACTCGCCCTTCAGAATCAAGGTCGGCAAGAATGTGGCCGACCCAGCCGCTCTCCATGCCACCGGCACTGGCCTGCAAGAGGTCAAGACTGGACACAAGGCCGACTTCATTATCAACACCTGCAATGCCGGCGTTGGCACGCTAGCCGTCTCCATCAATGGCCCCTCCAAGGTGGCCATGGACTGCACAGAGGTTGAGGAGGGCTACAAAGTCCGCTACACTCCCCTGCTGCCTGGCGAGCACTACATCACGGTCAAATACAACAATGTGCATATTGTGGGATCTCCCTTCAAGGTGGACGCCGTTGGCGAGAAGCTGGCCGATGAGGGTGCTCAGGAAACGTCGTCCGTCATCCTCGAAACGGTGCAGAAGTCGGCCAAGGGTGGCAAGAACACCGGCGTTCATCTGCCCGCCTTCAAGTCCGATGCCAGCAAGGTGGTTCCCAAGGGCATGGGCCTGAACAGGGCCTACATTGGCAAGCAGAATCAGTTCAGCATCTGTGCCACCGATGCGGGTAAGTGCATTATCATCAGGCATTCTGTACTAGCACTAACCTCTGTACATTATTCCTCTGTTTAGGCAACAACATCTTGTATGTGGGCATGTACGGACCGAAGGGACCCTGCGAGGAGTTCCATGTCAAGCATGCTGGCCACAACAACTACAATGTGCAGTATCTGGTGCGCGATCGCGGACAGTATGTGCTGCTGATCAAATGGGGCGAGGAGCATATACCCGGCTCCCCATTCCAGATTGATGTCTAGATCTAGCCAGGCGGCATATATGTATCGTAAAGTAGGATATATGCCTCTCCTCCCCCGTCGTATGAGTACGAGTACGAGTACGCTTCATTATGTACCGCATCCCCATGTTCCAGGGTCAAAATTCGTGTGTCTGTTTTCAATTTTATCTCTCCTCTCTCTCCCTCTCTTGTTTTCATCATAATTCTCTTTTTGTTTAATTTTAACTTCTTGCTTTATCGCGCTACTTATATTAGGTAAGTTTTTTGTTATTTGTATATACATGGAAGAAGCTTCTGGTTTTTTTTTTTGTTTTTCGACTCGAGAAGGTAAACGCGACGCGCCATTTTTCAACTTAAATTTTATTTGATTCGTTTATGTTTTCTTGTGAATACATTGACACTAAGCAAAGCTCAATACGAACAGATTGATTTGATAAAGCTACTCGCAAATAAATGCAAACAAAAAAAGCAATGGATATTTCGACATATACATATATATATTTTTGGGCACACAAGAAGTACAGTACGACTACTATTGCAATGCGAATAAATCTCTTAAACAATTATTTAATACTTAAGAACACATTTATGACGGATTATTATGATTATTATGACGTATTATGTTTTTTATTATCACCTATCGACATTGTAATTTACGTGAAATAAATCAAACAAAATCTACAAAATAATTTCAAAACTTTCTTTTTCTCTTCTCTCGCTCTCTCTCACGCAACGGATGTTTTGAAAACACCCCCAAAACACAAGAATATAATATAACATAACTAAAGAACAATTGTTTAAATCGAAAGGGTTAAACTTAAAGTTACATACATGTATTTATATTTAAAGCTGGCGAATCAATCCTCTTTGGGATTGCCCAGAACGCTGTACACTTCCCCATAACGCTGGATGTGCTCGAAGATGTCCTCTTCGCTGGAACTAGACGAACTGGAGGTATGTAGCTCGTGCACCAGAGTGTGGGCAGAGTCTGGGCTGGCACTCAGAGCGGCCGCCAGCTTGGGAGTGGGGCGATAATAGACCGAGTGGCGGCCGTCGAAGCTTCGACTGCCAATGTGGTACTTGAGATACTTTCTGGCACGCCGCTCTCCAATGATACGCCCAAGATCCTGCTCGTTGAGCGTAAAGTTGACCGATCCGACTGAGGTGCTGCTGCTGTGCAGCAGGATGCCCCTCTTGGTAAATTTAAATGGCGGCGGTTTTTCCTCCTTTGCCTCGTAGCTGGTTGTGGATGTCACCACAGTGCAGTCGGCCTCACCGCCCGCTTTGTTTGATTCCTCGTCTGGCACGGTCTCCGTTGATGAATCGAGTATGATAATTGTGTCGGGTTTCGTTTCCTGCTCCGAACTGCTCACGGCAGAGCGCCTTTTAACTTTTTGCTTGTTGGGTAGGACCCGAGTACAGGCCGTATCATTGGCCAGGGCGGTGGAGTTGCAGGCCACGCTGTTATTGTGGAAGAGCGACTGCGATGGAGACTGCTGCTGCGCTGTCGATTGTGGGTCCGGCTTGGACCTCTGGTCTGGTCGGCCCTTCAACTGCTCCTTTCTATATGTTTCCTTTGACAAGGCCAGGTCACGGCCCATCTCCTCATCCGTGTCATTTAATGTCGTCGTATTCTGGCGAATTCTCTTGATTCTGGACGTACTCAGAGGCCATTCATCTCCATCAGAACTGCTGGAACTGGCTGCTTCGGCGTTCTTTGGCACGGTGCATCTTTTTAGTTTTACCACTAGCATCTTTGCCGCCTGTCCATTGGGTGTGCATTGGGAATCTGGCGAATGATCCACTTCTTCGGTGATTTGAGCCAAACTTGAAGCACAATTTGAATTGATTTTCTTCTTGGCGGATGATCTGGGTGTCAATCGCTTCTCCTTGGGCGCGACAGGTGTGGAGATCTCTACGGGTGATTCTGTTCTTACGATGTTCTGAGAATTGAAGAAATCTCCATCGGTGGTGGGAATTGTTGGCGCAAGGCAAGGCTTATTCTTGGCGACACTGGCTTTCGGTATTTCTTTGGCTGGCCCCATCTTTTTTGGTTCCATTAAACTTTTTTCATCTTCGGAAGTAACGCTCTTGATCCTGCCAACTTCTGGCGTCACTCCCCTCACAGGCTTGGCTCCATCGTCGTCGAGGATTTTAGGCAAACTTGAGGAATCTTTTGTCTTGGCCACGTCTTCGCTGATTGGAGGCAAACTCTTTGACTTGCCGGACAACATAGTTTTCTTCTTTGGCGCCTTTTCCACAGAAGACTTTGGTTTGACCGCTTTCCTAGTTTTGGCCACCTTTTTCTGTTTTACCTCCGAGAAACTCATTAATCGGCTTCTACCTCGGAGTTCGTTTTCATCTGAAGAATCATCCTCTGGCACCGCCTGAAGTTCGTGGGCAGCCATTTCGTCTTCGGAATTTGTTTTCTTGGCCACGACTTCGCTGATTGGAGGCAAATTCATTGGCTTGGCTTTCTTTTTGGATGCCTTTTCCACAGATGAGATCGCTGGAGTGTGTGGCTCCCTTCCTTCGGCGCCACTCAATGGTTTCCTGCGCTCCTTGCGTGCGTCTTCATCGGAAGTGTCGCTGTCAATTAAATTTCTTATCACTAGACGAGTCCCCTCACGCCTTGGGATATATAATGCTGCAGCGGAAGTTGCCTTCCGAATCAATCTATGCGGGGCTGAACCCATGACACGGTCTCGGCACTTGGAGCGAACAGTCTGTGGTGTTTTCCGCAGCGTGAAATGTTTCTTGATGCAGGTTAGACGATTGCTGCACTTGGTAGGCGTCCCGGTGGGCACGGGACTATTGCAGTTCTCCACAACCCATTCCTCCGTCGAGCTGTTGGCAATGTGCACCACGTCCGCGCACAGCCGGTCGCTGTTGCAGCAGCTGCACTCGTTCTCCATTAGACGTGGACGCAGGTCCAGCTCCTCCTGGAAGCTTTGTGGACGTCGCACGCGGTGCATGGACCGTGATGATGCAGCTTGGTGATGATATTCGCGCTGGCCGCGATATGAACAGCATTCATATGCGCTTCTGGTCAGCACACGTTTTAGGCACGATCTGCAGTCGCACCCACTTAATGTGGCATCCTCGTCCTCGCTTGACGGCGACCCAAACAGCGATGAATCGGCGCGACGCTTACGCAGATGCTTGAGTCGCGTGTGATGGCTGTGGTGGCTGCTGCTCCTGTAGGAGTAGTGCCTGGGACTGCTGGTGAGATAGGCAAGCTTCCGCTCCCTTTCGCGGCGGCGATGCAGCAAAGCCTGCATGTGATGGCGGTGCTCCTGTTCGTCGTCGTAGGCGTACTTGGCACGCAGTTCGTCGCGCTTGCGCGAATGGGTGCGATACATCTTGATGGTGGTCATGTTGGTCATCTTGGGGATGGGTGTGCTGCGTTTGCGACTCTGCATTATATAGCGGGCCGTGTCGATGGAGTGCAGCGACTCGTTGTCGCTGGGATCGGAATGGGAACGTTCATGACTGCAATCGTACCTCTGGGAACTCTCCTCCAGATAGACACTGTTGTTGCGGCGCATCCATTGGCCCACATGCTGTTCAATCTTTTGCGCATCGAAGGTGTCCAGTATTTGATCCAGCCCAGCCGCCTTCCACTTGCGCTTGTGCTCCTGAACAATGGGCATCGTTTGATTCAGAATCTCCTCCATTTCGGCCGTTTTCTCTTTGTTCTCGCCTGCGCACAAAATCATCGTCAGCTCCGCCTTGCTCATGGCTGCCGTTGCATTTACGTTCCCCATGCCCAGGTCCGTTTCCAGCAGTTCATCCTCGGCCGCCTCCTCATCCTCCTGCACATCCGGATCTCTTTCCTCGCCCTTGTACAGTTTCTCAATGTCCCCCAAGTCAACCTCATTGCCATCGCCTGCTTCCCCGCAGTGCTACAAAGAAATCGCTTAGCATTCGGAGCGCCATTTCGCTGCAAAGCAAAAGAGAGCCTCACCTTCATCATGCTGGACCAGCTTTTGGAGCGCTCGTAGACCAGTGCCTCCAATGTTTCCTCGTCCAATAGGGCGTGCGACATGTTTGCATGTGCAGCGTTCTGCTAATTCCTTATTTAATGAACAAAAAACGCGCCACAAACCGAAAATCAAGAAGATGCGAAATAAAGCAAAATGGCCATCAGTGTGACCAAAAATAAATACCATTTAAATACCACAAAAAAACCAGGGAAACGCACTTAACACCCCTCTATTAAAAAAGTTGAGCACCCTTTGTTAAACCACGGAAAATAATATTGTTTGTAAGGGCTCCTTGTAGCTCTTTACTTTCAAAACAAAACAAAAACGGACTAATCGCTAGAATATACCGCCTGACACTCAGAATTATACCAAAAAGTCGCCTATTCGATACAAAAAAATCGAGTACTCTCGCAAGTCTGGCATCTCTTAAATGGAAATTCAAATTGGCCCGAGTGTGCTGCCAGACACATCAAGTGTAAAGTGGCGGGAGCTTGAAATGATATTTTCTGTCGTTTTTATTTTGAAGTTATATATGTTTTACATTAGATTAATATTGCAGATAAACAAACGAATACATATTGTATGCTTAAATAACTGTTCAATTGAAATACATATACATATGTCCTGCTGCTGCTCCATTGGCCACTAAATGTCGGAATACAATACATGTCTATTTCTGGTGTTTCCCTTTTTGTTTTCTTCGCTTCTCGTCTTTTGTTTTTCTGTTCGTGTCGGGTTGTGTTAATAATTTTATATATATATATAGGTTGGTTGTTTGGAATTGGTTGGCCGTTGGACGGCCCTACTTGCGATTGCGTATGGCGCGGTCCATGATATTGTTAATGCGCGTCTCCGAGTAGCCCGGCACGAGCATATGGATAAGCTCCTTCATGAACAGATCACTCACTCCCGGGCTGGACCGTTCGGCCAGCTCGAACACCGACTTGAGGTCGCCAATGTCGCTGCCGACGCCCATGTTCTTGCTGGTGCTGCCGCTGCCGCCAGAGTACTTCCTCTGGATGTCGCTCAGTACGGGGAAGAGGAAGTTGTTCAAACAGGCACTGTTCGTGTGGATTATGCGCTGGCCCGTTGGCGGCTGTTTCACATGATTGGAAGAGGGATGGTCGTCGTTGATGTTGTTGCTGTTGCTGCTGCTGCTGCCGCTGCTGGCGTTTGTTGCATGGAATGATTCACGTTGGCTGCTGCGACGCTGCTGCTGCTGTTGTAGTTGTAGTTGTTGCTGCTGTTGGAGGTGCTGTTGCTGCTGTTGGTGGTGGTGCTGCTGCTGTTGGTGGTGGAGCTGCTGCTGCTGATGGTGGTGCTGCTGCTCCGCAGCAGCCATTGGCAGTCCCAGAGAGGCACGACGCTCCTCCACCTGATCCAACGGAGCCGCTGAACGGGACTGACGTAACTCTGGCTTGGAGCTGGACCGCTTCTGGATTAGTTCGTTCGCCGATGAGGAATTGGTCACACCCGATGCCGTCACTCCGGCCGAGCTCGGAGGCGGAGCATTAAGCATAGTCGTGGTCGTGGCATGTTTGTTGCTCAAGTTATTGTTATTGTTGTTGTGGCTGTGGCTATGGTTGTGGTTCGCCTGGGGCGCCAGGGCAGACGCCGTGGACGCGGACGCTTCGTTGGAGTTGGATGTAGAGATGACGGACACAGACGAGACGGAATTCCCGCCGGCCGGGGATTGTGTGGTCTGCATCAGCTTCTGCATTGTCAGCTCGTGCTCCTGCAGCTGGAAGCTGTTGACGCCCGCTCGCGGGGCACTGTTGATGTGCAGCCCCTTGACTGTCATGATCCAGGGCTCGTCCTGGCTGCTGCCGCTTTGCTTGGCATCCGAGTCCGAGTCGGAGTTCTCGGACTCCGTCTCGCTCTCGTCGCCCTTGGAGACCTTCCACTTCTTGAAGCGGTCAATCAGATCGATCAGGTAGGCGTTCTTCTTGGCCTTCTTGATGAACGGATACTTGAGCAGCTCCTTGGCCGTGGGCCGGTTCTCCGGGTCCTTGTTGAGGCAGGCCTCGACAAAGTCCTTGAACGACTTGGTGTAGTTGCCAGTCAGCTGGGGCGGATTGTTCTTGGGTATGAGGAAGAGGACGCGCATCGGATGCAGCTCAGAGTTGGGCGGTTCGCCTTTGGCCAGCTCAATCGCAGTGATTCCAAGCGACCAGATGTCGGCCTTCGAATCGTACTGCGATTGCTTAATCACCTCCGGGGCCATCCAGAAGGGCGTGCCCACGAAGGTGTTCCTCTTCGAGGTGGTGTTTGTCAGCTGGCCAGCCACTCCGAAATCAGCCAGCTTTACGTCCCCCTGCTCGCTCAATAGAACATTGGCTGCCTTGATATCTCGATGCAGCTTTCTCTCCGAGTGCAAGTAGTCGAGACCCTTGAGGACCTCCCTCAGTATGATCCCGATGTGCATCTCCTCGAAGGAGCCAGCCTTCATCAGATCCAAGGCCGAGCCGCCACCCAGATACTCCATGATGATCCACAGCTTGGTGCCCTTCAAAAACGACCCATAGTACTTGGTCACGTACGGCGAGTCGCACTGCGACAACACCATTATCTCCTGCTGGATGTCGTCGATCTCATCCTCGGCCTCCTCCAAATCGATTATCTTTATGGCCACCACCTGCTGGGTGCGATTGTCGATGCCTTTGAAAACCTCACCGAACGAACCCTTGCCTATGCGCTCCTGTTTCGTGAAAATTAGCTCCGGGTCGACTTTCTCTGTCCAGGACATGGTTGCGCTTGCTGTGGTCGCCTTTAGTGGACCTTGTAACGGCGAATTTCTATCGTTTGCTTGACTAATAAATTTTTTTCGTTTTAATCCAAGATTTTCTATATAGTGTGACCGCGGAGCTAACGATAAAATATACCGCCTGACCCCCAGAAATATACCGGAATATACCTTGTCACTGTTAAAATATACCGTAAATATACTGACGGACACTACCAGATGTGTTGATATTCCTCGATATTGATATTCAGTTTAATATTACTAGCCAGTTTGCCCATTTAGCCCTACAAAAATAGTTTTATCCGATTCATCAATAAATTTTGTATAAGATTGGCTAGTTTTCTGAACTTTTTCTCATTGGATTTTACATAATAAGGTTCAAACAATAACGGCCAAAGCATAAATCATTCTGTGTACCGGAATGTGACGTCAGTGTTGCTGGTCAACCAAAGTTCTTCTATGCGTATGGACCATTGTATACCTTATTTCCTTTAATTGATGTTAAATATGTTGTTCCAAGCTCCTATGCAACATAAATATTGCATTTTTATTATATTGACATATATTGCTCATTCCGTGCAAAAGTTGCAGAACAATGCTGTAATTCATTTCCCCATGTTGCTGAAATTTTTCCCATACAAATCAAATGTATCATACGGAAAGCGAACAATTTCGGTATTTTTTGTGCGCTTAATAGAGTTTGGCGGTCATTTTGAAAAGTACTTTAATATACCCTCAAAAATATACCCAAATATACCTTCTCAACCTTCTCAGCGATAAGCGATAAATAAACGAACCTGAGTTGGAGGAGTTCACCATCTCTAAAATAAATATTTTTAAATCACGGGTGTGATATGATATCTAGTGTTGCATTTCTGTGATATCGAAGATTTTATGGATGGATGGAAATCAGCTGGTCGAACGGACACTTTCCAACACTTGTAATTTGGATAAACTTAGAACTGAGATATATTTATATAGTATTATTGTGAAATTGCCAGTTTTTTCCGCATTAAAGCACCCTTCGATGAATGGAAGTGGGGCCAAAACAGGAGTCAAACAACAGTGAACAATGTCTGAGGGGCCCTTGTAGCTACCGCGCAACTTTTATCAGTAAGCAGTCCGCGAAGACGTCGCAAGAGAAACGCGCGCTGAAATGATGCTATATCTCCGCCGATTGTTCAGCCAGGAGCTGAGTCCTGCCGCACAAACGGATTTCCTGGGCTGCCTGCAACAGGCGCCACACCTGCTAACCAATGGCTTTGCCGGATCCCCCGCCCTGGAAAGTCTTTCCTGGTTACACAATCTGGCTCCCTGTTTCCCGCTGCGAGGTGACCAGATCCATGTGATACACGAGCCCCAGCACTTCTACGACACGTTGGTACAGCGCATTGCCAAGGCAAAGAAGCGCATCGTGCTGGCCAGCCTCTACCTGGGCACGGGCCAGCTGGAGAATGCCATGGTCCAGACGTTGCGTCACCGCCTCCAATCGCAGTCGTCGCTGCGCCTGAACGTGCTATTGGATTTCACACGCGGTACACGTGGCGATCTCAATTCCAAGACCATGCTGCTGCCGCTGGTCCGCGACTTCAAGGAGCAGGTACAACTGTCGCTGTACCACACGCCAGATCTGCGGGGAATGACGAAACGACTGGCGCCACCGCGCTGGAACGAGCTCCTGGGCCTGCAGCACATGAAGGTCTACCTGTTCGACGATGCGGTCATTATATCCGGGGCGAACCTCTCGAACGACTATTTCACCAACCGACAAGACCGCTACATCCTGATCGAGGATAAGCCCTTGGCGGACTTTTATGCGCAGTTCATTGAGCGGGTGCAGGAGTTTAGCCTGGCCGTCAGCCCAGACGCCACAGAGGGGCTGCATCGCAACTGGCGCATCTTGCCCTACGAGGGCACCAAGCAGCAGTTCATTCAGCAGGCCAGCAAGCGGATATCGGACTTTGTGCAGGAGACCTATCAGCGGCAGAGTCAGGTCAGGGATCTGAACACGCAGGCAGACACCTGGGTGTTCCCGCTGTTCGAGATGGGCCAGATTGGCATTCATCACGACAGTGTGGTGACAAAGCGTCTGCTCTCCAGCTGCATTGCCGGCTCCCGCCTCAAACTCGCCACCGGCTACTTCAACCTGACGCAGGAATACATGGACACCATCACGCACAAGTGCCTGGCGCAGTGCAGCATTCTCATGGCCCATCCGAACGTAAGCTGCACTTTTGAGGTGTTTCCTTCATAACATATATCGATATTCACAGGCAAATGGCTTCCAGGGCGCCAAGGGGCCTGCCGGAGGAATTCCGGCTGCATACACCCTGATAGCGAAGAGCTTCTACGAGAGTCTGGTGCGTCGGAAGCAGAATCATCGCGTCAATTTCTTCGAATACCAGAAGACCGGCTGGACGTACCATGCCAAGGGCCTGTGGTACTACCTGCCCGAGGCGCGGCTGCCGAATCTAACGCTCATCGGCTCATCAAATTTCGGAGAGCGGTCGGTAAATCGCGACCTGGAGACACAGGTGTGCCTCGTGACGACCAACACGGAGCTGAGCCAGCGGCTGCAGGCCGAGGCGGATCGCCTCTATGATCTGTCTCAGACGGCGGAGCGGGAGATTGTTAAGCGGGTCGTGCCTCGTTGGGTGCAGGCCGTTGTACGCATATTCAGGAACTTTTTTTAGACTATTCAAATTGTTAGTTCAATTGTCCCCCATCGTACCAGTTACTATAGTGTTTAAATCGTGTTTAATTATTGCCTTGGGCATGCATGTGTGTGTGTGTGTGTGGTTCACACTGCTGTAAATGGTTAGTTTTGTACGCAGTTTAGAATTTGTTAAACAATAAAGTGAATTTTTAAAGGAAACAATTTCACTGCGCCCAATTAATTTCAACAGTGTTGGTTAGCATTATGGAGAGCACTTTCCTACGCACTAAAATTATGTGCATACATGTGCGTGCCGACCCCTGCTTTATAGCATCTATAATGCTTTTTAGCCAGGAATGTTACGAGTTATTGTTAAATAATAATGTGGAATTTTAAAGAAATATTTGCGCCACATCGATATCAAACCGAATAGTGTTGAGCACCGTAGCGGAAACAGCTGTTTCGAATTGGAGTGTGTGTGTGTGTTGGAGCCAGAGCTTCAAAGCCTCTTCACTGATTACTGTATTTTTGTGGGCACAGGTAAGACGCGTCACCTGGTTGCGGGTCGTGTTCGGGAACAAATTGAACGCTTTCAAAGCTGAGACCCATTTGGTTTTCGTTATGAGTGTCGCCCGTATGCGTAGCCGCATCTGTGTGTTTGTTTGCCGTGAAAGTTAAATTAAAATAAATCTGATTATCATCCGGCTGCTTTAGCCACAGCAACAGCAAAAACAACAGCAACAGCAGCAGCGCGTGCTACCAGTGCTTGTGTGTGTGTATGTGTTTATACAGATGTATGTGTGTGAAGATTTCCAAGAATAACAAAAGCAGCAACAACAAACAGTGCAAAAATGTCAAACAATCGGCGAAGAGTGCGCACAATTGATTACGTCGCCCTCCAGAGTCTGCAGCTGCAAACGACGCCGGCTAGAAACAATACAGAAGCCCCAGCAGCAGCAGCAGCAACGCAGGATGAGGATGAAGATGGAGCAGAAACCACTACCACAACCAGCCCACCGCCGGTGCCCCCAATGCGGTTACGACGCGAGCACAGCGTGGATGAGGATGTTGCAAGGTGAGCGCCCGGCCAAGTAGTAGAGTAGTGGAATTTTTCGGGATTTTCCAAGCGAACAAGAAATGTTACGCTGCAGCAACTTTAGTCTTTAGTCGCCTCACTCTTCTCTCTCTCTCTTTCTGCCCTGTTTAAAGCGCATTTCACAAGTTTTTTAATTGTTAAAACGTAAACAACGTGTTTTGCTGCCGCTCAACGAACCCATACGAATTTTCTGCAAGACAGTCATAAAGCAAAAAATTCCAAAACTGTGCAGTTCGCGGGAAATTGAATATGTCTTTTTATTTGTTGTTCTTGGCCGGTGGGAGCAATTACAATTATGCACCACCACACACTCTTCTGCCCCGTGATCTGCTGTTCCCTGTGCCTGTTCTGTGTATGGGTGAACATTTATCATAACCACCATTTTTGGTGGGGGGTACTTCAGCCGCAGGGAGTGGGAGTTGAGTCTGCCAAGACATTTGCTGATAACGCCTTCGGCTTTTGCCTGATAAGACAACGCACACACACACACACACATAGAACGCATATCTATGGCATTCTCTGGTTACTTTTTATTTTTTTCTTTGCTTTCTGCTTATTCATAATTTGTTTAAATTTGATTTGATTTTTCCGGTAAGGCAAGCAGCTGAGGGTGAGACATTCGCATTCGCAGGAAAAGTTCTATTCATTTTCGCATGTCGCATGTCTGTACGCAGTTAGCGGGAAAATCTTGGCAAACATAAATTTTGATTTTCGGCTGGCGGCTGGCACCTGCTCGCTCGATGTCCCATTCCTCTGCTGCTGCGTCTCTGCCGTCTTCTATCTCCGTCTTGTTCTTCTTCACCTCGCATACCAGTTTGTTGTTGTGCGGGGAGGGGGAGAGAGAGAGAGAGAGAGGGAGACACTACGACCAGTTAAAACGCGTTTAATACGTGCGCTTGCACATTCTGCTTTGTTAACCTCTTTCGTTATAGCGTCGCGGGGCAATTCTGTTTTGAAATCAAATTCGCTTTCTTCTCAAGTTACCCACCGTTACCGGAGCTCTTGTCTCTTGCCGGAATGAATGGAATTCCAATGGCCGAAGGTCTTTCCTAACTGTTGTTGGTCACTTGGGCGAAACTCCAAAGAGTGAGCCACGCTCTTGCCACATTCGTACTTGAACTTGCAACTCGCAGACTTCTTTTCATGTCTGTCTCTCTTTCTCTCTCTCTCTCTCTGTGGGCAATCGGCTGGCATGCCGCCCGGTGATACGATCAGTTGCTTTGATAAGCATAACTACTGGCGTGTACATAACAGAAAACATTTCCGCATGCCCCCCCCCCACACACACACGCACACGTGTCGTAAATTTCGATTTTTGAATATTTTGTGTGTGTTCCGTGAACTTCTGTTTACGCCAGAGAGTGTTAGTGATCGTTTTATTGGATCTAATATAATTGAGAAGAAAATTAACAAAAACAAAAACAAAATATGCGCTACCATCGGCAGCCGAAGCTTTTGATACCCTTGCTGATCGATCGATCGATCGCTGCTGTGGTAGCGATGGGCAACAGTAATTCGATTTATAAGTCTCCTAAAATATCTGTGAAAATTGATTTGATATTTTGCATGAGGCGTCTTTTTTAAAAATAAACTACAGGAAGGGCCCCAATGCCGGTTACCAGTGCCAACGATCGACCGTGATCGTTGCGGGGGCAAACTGATCAATTACTCATCGCGATCGCTTCCTGACGACTTTTCTATGCCTCATGAATGATGCTCACAGTGCGTATGTGTAACAAAGGGTGTTACATATCAAGAATACGCCCTGTCGGTCACGTGACGTAGCGGAACATGAACAGGGGGAAATGGGAATGCCTGTGACTCGCAGCCACTTGATTTAACCGATTGGAATTGATTTTCCCTTCGATTTGTGGCACGCAGGCCACAGGCAGACAGGCAGGTTTCGATTTCCAGCTGTAGAACACTATTGTTTATATTGAGCCCACACCACCCACCAGCCATCACACACACCACCCACTGCGTGTGTGGGTAAACAAAGCTAATTAAGTAACGAGCGCGTACATAATAAAATTCAATAAATTAATATTTAATATTCGCCAGCAGGCGCGAAGCCAATTACAAACCACAAAACAAACGAATGGCAAGCTGATCGGCAACCGCTCTCTCTCTCTCTGCATCTCTCTTACGCTCGACTCTCTTTATGCGTCCACTCGCTGTCTCTCGATTGGCATGGCAAACCACCCACTAAACTACTCTCTCCAGCACTCTCTCGGGCAGATGGGACCCATAAACAATTGGATGGGCGCTCGCGCTTTTAGTTTGCCGCCGTTTGCACTCTGCACTCGGCACTCAGCTAGCAGTCGTTCGAGAGGCGACGCCATCGTCGGGGGTACACGCGATACACATAGACTCGACACCGAAGCGTATGCCATATAGTATATATCGGTATATCGACGAGAGACAGACGACTCGATGGGGTAAATTCTTGTTAAAGTGCTAATAAATTGACTGCCTGCCGCCGCGCAGCATTTCGCTTTGCACGACAAATATCGGTACGGTACGGATTTCCATTGCGTTATGAAATCCCCCAAACAGTTGCCGGCGCGCAAAGGAAGCAAAGCAAAGCAAAGCAAATCAAAGCAAAGAGGCGTGTGAACTATGGCCTTTTGTTGTAGGGCGCGCTGATAAACAGTAAAACTATAACGTCGTGGAGCCTCCACTAAAGATAGTGCATAAGTACTATGTAAAAGAAATCGCACTCAGATTCGGATTCGGAATCACCCCCGCCAACAAAGTCCAGTCATCGTTCGTTCGCGTCTAAAGTTCTTCTCTCTCGGATTGCCTCTCCCTCTCCCTCTGCCTCTCTGTAATTTGTATTTACTTTTCGATTGTGCTTTTTATTGTTTTTCTTTTTTACACATTGTCACAGTCGGCAGTCGGCCGTGTAGACCGTGTACAGTGTGCCGAGCCGTACAATTAGATGTACATAAATTTTACGGGGCACAGAGTTCTGTTCAAAAGTAATAGCCTGCCTGGGGAGCCTGCTCCCAACCCCCTCACCACCCTTTTTAAGCTCTGCGCGAAAGAGTAATACCATATTTGGACGGACGGACGGACGGACGGGTCTCGCGTTTCGTTGCGATTCGCTGATCGCGCGAAGAGTTTGAGAGCAATTTCTGTGCTGTTCAAACTGTAGGCCCGTAGAGCCCACTTTGTGCGCAATAATGGGTCGAAAAAAGTAAGTAAAACTGAGAGTTTGGTTTTCTCTGGTGATTTTTCAAACTGAAATCATGAAATTGGCTGATGAAAGAATTTGGTGCTGTGTGGGGAGCGACTACAGCGACGGAGGCATAATTGCCAGCCGATGAAATAAATCAAACCTGCCCTCAAATTAAACCATAATCATGGGCGTGACAAGCGGCTGTCTGCAGCCAGTGCGATAAGATAAACGCATTTGCATGGCGCATGGGAGTGGGGCAATGGGGTGGTCCATTCGATTTATCGTACACATCGGCGATTAGGCTGCGTGCGACATATGCTTCTGGTCCCCCAATTAGCGGCCAATTAGAGCAAGCCCTTGGCCTTTAGATAGTCCGTGTTAGTCAAGCACTAAATCTCTGCCTTTGCTCCTAACATCTTGCAGAGTGGAGTACCGTGTCAAACAGACGCCCACGCGGCCACTGCAAATGTCCAATGCCCGCATTGGGGCCCTCGAGGAGGACATGGCGCCCGAGGATGAGCTGGCCGCCCACTATGCGGAATTCGGCACAACGCCACCCCGCACACGGCTCAAGATCAAGAATCGAGACTGGGAGCGCAAGCAGAAGGTGTCCAATGTTGCGGCGTAAGTAAATGCCCCAAATCAAATGCCTTTCATTCCCATTCCCAATTCCATTATATCATCAATATCATCATCCTCATGGCGAATGTGTGTGTGTATATGTACATACATATGTCCGATCTGTAGGAGCTGTGACAAATACACTTTGTTTGCATTCATAGCCGCTATTTGTTCTGTATAGTTGGATGTTTCTGTCTGCTGTAATCTTCGAGATGGGGCAGTGATCCTCATCTGATCACCACTGTCCTAAGCATACTTGGGATGCTACATTCAGCGGATTTTCTGTTTTCACTAGGAACAGGGAAGAATCCCCCGAAGAAATCATGTAACATCTACAGCTGGTAGTTATTCCAATCCCAAGCGATGTTGCATATTTTTTCGTTGGTATTTCATCACAAAACTCCGCAATCGTACGTGGCGAATGTTCTCCCTGTTGTCTGTTCTATTATGGGAAATTTCAGCAGCCAATTAACGTCATTGGCAACCGTCTAACAGGTGCCCCATGAGAACAGGTGCAGGTTTTGCATAGTGACAGATACACAGATACCCTTTGGCTGCCCACAAATTATGCGCCCAGATATGAGAGTTCGCGGCTCGATAAGGGTTTGCGTCCGGGCTAAGCGTGCACGGAATTGGATTGGTCTGGGCTGGGCTGGGCACTCTAGTGTCGAAAGCAGACACCATAATCGGACCCTCCATATGCTGCCATATGCCGCACTTTCGATTCAGCTGGGTGTGTGAATTCACTAACAATATGTGATCATCTTCATTATTATCATTATGGGAACTCGCTTACTGATTGATTCTCGCAGTTCCCCAGATCTGCCTGCCAGCGTGGGGGGCACGCCCAAGAAGGGAATGTCGCGGATGGCTCGATCGCGGGTCCTGCGCCGCAACACCATGGACTGTGCCCTGCTCAACGAGATGTTCGTGAACGAGGAGAACAAGCGGACGGACAAGCGGCTGCAGTCGCTGCTGCGCGACTCGGAGCGGGAGATGAAGAACTCGCTGGCGACAACGGCCGTGGCGCCGCCACGGGGCAGCAGCTTCCATGAGAGTGTCCATCCGCTGGAGTCGCTGGACAAGATCATGCCGCTCAGCTCGGAGGCGATGCCGGCGCCACTGCCGCTGCGCATTGCCTCCAAGGTGGTGGAGAGCTGCAACCGGTATCGTTGTGTGTCCTCGCGACCCATTGGCTACCGCTCGTCGGCGCCGCCGCTGGCCTTTGCCGCCCAGCTGCCGGCAGGTCTACTGAGCGGCTGCCATGGGAAGCAGCAGACGGTTGGGCTGGGCAAGCGGAAGGACTTCCACGAGACGTTTGCCAACCTGATCAAGCTGGGCAGTGTCGACCGGCAGGATGCGAAGCCGTCGCAGGAGGAGCACACCTGGCAGACGGAGCTAAAGGATCTCATATGGCTGGAGCTGCAGGCCTGGCAGGCCGATCGCACCGTTGAGCAGCAGGACAAGTACCTGTTCGAGTCCCGCCAGGGCGTCTCTGATCTGCTCACCCAAATCATCAGCTACAAATTCCAGCCGCGGTATCGCCGTGAGCCGAGCCTGATAAGCCTCGACAGTGGCATCCATTCCGAGAGCAATTCCAATGCCAGCTGTAAGTGTGGAAATATATTTTATGCGATAGTATATAGCAGCTGCTTCATGTGTATGTATCTGCTTTGGCAGCTCCATTGCCCAGCAAACTGTGCCAGGGATGCATGTCGCTGTACTGCAAGGACTGCATGGAACAGCAGGAGCTGGCGCTGCGCGAAGTGGAGGGCATGCTGACACGACTGGAGGCCGCCGAAGCGCTCTATCCCTCGTCGCAGGCCATGGGCGCCCTGCATCCCATATACAAGTCGCAGAGCTTTGTGGGCCGCATCAAGTCCATGTGCCTGTGGTACAACATAACCAAGCAGAACAAACTGAAGCTCAGTATTTTGGGCATGATTTTGGCCAGGTGAGTTCCAGCCAGAGTTGATCCCTGCGCATCCATGCAACTATACCCATACCCCCTGTGTCCCTTGTAGGCTGCAGGACGAAAAGTTTTCATGGCCCGTGCAAACTGCGTGCCCCGCTGCCTCGGACAGCGGCAACTCGTCCGCCTCGGGCGTGGATAATGATGATTCGGCGGTGAATTCGATGGACTCGGCCAAGCCGCCCAGCTGTCCAGTTGCGCGCAAGGGCTGCCGCAACGGTAGCGTCACATCCAGTCATAAGGTTCAGTTCATGCTGAACGACGCGGCCCACGTGCCCGGCGAGACGTCCAGCAGCAACGAGTAAGTGGAAGTCGGCTTGCCAAAATATCCCATGATCCCAATCCGATCCATTTCAGATCCACGTCGACTGAGGTCAGCCAGTTGTCCGGCGAGTGTCTGCACGGTCATGGATTGCGCAAGGGATCCATGCACGACATCAATATCTTCAGCGTTGAGCCACTGGGCACCTGCAGCAACGATGTCAGCGGTGGCGATGGCTCATCGGCCCTGTACCGAAAGTTCATTGAGAATGTGCTGAAGAGCCGGGGACTGGCCAAGTCGCTGGCATTCCTGCACAAGCTGCACAATGTGGCGCTGTACAAGGCGCACATTGCACTGGAGAAGCCGGGCGCCGAGGACTTTGACTTTGAGCTGGACGCGGAGGCGATTGAGGAGGATGTGCCGCGCCTCGATCCGCAGATAAGTCGCGAGCAGGTGATCGAGCTGCGGACATACGGGTACTGGAGCGAGGAGGCGCAGTCGATCAATCTACCCTCATACATTCCCACCTTTGTGTTCCTGAGCGGCATTCCGCTGCAGTTCATGCACGAGTTTCTGCGCATGCGCCTGGAGACGCGGCCCGTCCGGCCCAATCCGCTCAGCCTGGGGCAACTCATGAAGGAGCTGCGCGAGGGCCTGACCCTGGCTCTGACGCATCGCGAGCGCTACCAGCGGCACATTACGACGGCTCTGGTCGAGAACGAGGCGGAGCTGGGCAGCTACATGTTGATCCTCAATCAGTACGATGCGACGGTGCGCAAGACCTTTGAGCTGTATCTCGACTACATCGATCAGCTGGTGCTGGTGGCCGTGCCGGAGACGAACCAGAAGTCGGTGCTCGAGAAGGAGTGGATGTTCACCAAGCTGATCAGTCCCATGATCACGGGCATGCACACCCTGGCCTCGCAGAAGTTCTGCGGCATCATCAGCAAGCTGTTGCGCAGCATCTCGGAGAGGCTGGTGAAGCGCTCCGTCGAGCTGGACCAGAAGATCGAGGGCACCGCCGACAACGATGACAACGAGGAGCTCAAGTGGCAGCTGCTCACCATCTGCCGGGAGACACAGTCGCTGCTCACCGTCGAGCGGGAGCGATCCATTAAGGTGCTCTTCTTTGCCAAGACCTTCTGCCGCGACGTCGAGACCACGGACTTTCATCGGGAGCACTACGAGGACGACGTGGCCAATCAGCAGCACGATTTCATCTGTTCGGACGTGAAGGCGGCCTTCAAGCTGCTGCAGCAGGATGTGCTCGATGTGCGCAACAAGCTCACCGAGATTATCGAGGGCGTCCAAACACGCTGCTGTCTGAGCAACATGCGCGACCTGGACGAGCAGGACCGGCAGGCGGTGCTGTCGCGCACCCGCGAGATACTGCATCAGGGCTACAAGTTCGGCTTTGAGTACCACAAGGATGTGATCAGGCTGTTCGAGCAGCGCATCATGGACCAGAAGGACAGTGGAGCGCACACGGTGGACCTGGCACTGGGCATCATTACTTACGCCAAGATGTGGATGCATTTTGTGATGGAGCGTTGCGAACGGGGCCGTGGCATGCGCCCACGCTGGGCCTCCCAGGGTCTGGAGTTCCTGATTCTTGCCTGCGATCCGCAGATCACCCAGCACCTGGCCGAGCATCAGTTCGAGGAGCTGAAGCAGCAAATGGATCGCTGCATTTCGCACGTGATTGGCATCACCTCGGAGCCGGAGAAGGTGGCCCGCAAGAAGGCATCGCCACGCACCCGCAAGACCTCATCGCCGGCCACCTCACGTTCCCGGACGCCCACCCGCACCCCCATGTCGGCCGGCATTGTGCTGAACCCCAATACGCCGCCCCTGCAGTCGCCGCCATACAACAAACTGCTGCATCCGCAGTTCAGCCTGAAGGAGGACTTGCTGCAGCAGTCGTCCAACGCGTACAGTTCCGTGGACAGCGGCGACTATGTGGACACCCCGTGCCGGAGCAGTCCCAACGGGGAGTTGCGCCTGCTGGTGCCACAGACGCCGCCCACGCCGGCCTCCTCGGGAAAGGGCAGCATTGAGAGCACACCGCTGGCGCTGCGGCAGGAACGGGTGCGCGATGCCGTCAATCGACTGGACCTCGATCTGGAGGAGCAGCTGCGCGAGCGGCGACTGATTGGCCAGGTCAAGGCCCTAAACTCGTGCGACAAGGTGCACATCCGTGCGCGCAGCGTCCACTTCCGCTGGCATCGCGGCATCAAGATCGGCCAGGGCCGATTCGGCAAGGTCTACACGGCGGTCAACAACAACACGGGCGAGCTGATGGCCATGAAGGAGATCGCCATACAGCCGGGCGAGACGCGGGCCCTCAAGAACGTCGCCGAGGAGCTGAAGATCCTCGAGGGCATCAAGCACAAAAATCTGGTGCGCTACTACGGCATCGAGGTGCATCGCGAGGAGCTGCTCATTTTCATGGAACTCTGCTCCGAAGGCACCCTGGAGTCTCTGGTGGAGCTGACCGCCGGTCTGCCCGAGGCTCTGGCACGCCGCTTCACCGCCCAGCTCCTCTCGGGTGTGTCCGAGCTGCACAAGCACGGCATTGTGCATCGCGACATCAAGACGGCAAACATCTTCCTTGTCGATGGCAGCAACAGTCTCAAGCTGGGCGACTTCGGTTCCGCCGTCAAGATCCAGGCACACACCACCGTTCCCGGCGAACTGCAGGGCTACGTCGGCACGCAGGCCTACATGGCCCCAGAGGTGTTTACCAAGACGAACAGCGATAGCCATGGCCGTGCCGCCGATATCTGGTCCGTGGGCTGTGTTGTTGTGGAGATGGCCTCGGGCAAGGTAAGCGTTTCCACTGTGGTATTCCACTTGTATGTAGATAAGCAGAGCAGAGCAGAGGGTTTATTTATTGCTCATTTCACAATGTTTCGTAACCCATGTATGGTATGCTCGTCTCCATTCAGATACTGTGATGGTCGCCAACAGGTTAAATGTAGAGCAGAAATAATTTCCTATTCCAATTTTTGTACAAATATGTATATTATTATTAATAGTTGAGGGAATATTTCTATATGTCTCATAAAACTGGACAGATAGGTTCAGTTAAATTCTAGAACTCGTAGCTAAATGGATATAGAACCGATCAAATAAGTAGATCCATTAGAAGCGAAAAATAGCCAAAAAGAATAAACTTCTTTTTGCTTTCCATATACATTTTCCATATATTTGATACATTAATAATTATCTATATTTTTTGTCTGTTGGTCATTTAATATTCGTTTAGCGTCCGTGGGCACAATTTGATTCCAATTTCCAAATCATGTTCAAAGTGGGCATGGGCGAGAAGCCCAAGGCGCCGGAGAGCCTATCGCAGGAGGGACACGACTTTGTCGATCATTGCCTGCAGCACGATCCCAAGCAGCGTCTGACGGCCATGGAGCTGCTGGAGCACAATTTCTGCAAGGTTGGTAGTGCCACAAAACATGAATCTAAATGAAATTAATTAATTTGTTCGTTCTGTTCTGTTCTACCCACCACACAGTATGGCCGGGACGAGTGCAGCAGCGAGCAGCTGCAGATGCAGGTGCGTGGCTCCTTTCGTCGCAACGTGGCAACCAGCTAATCGTGGCCCCGTGCTTCTTACAGTACGATTATAGAACGGAAATCTATAACTTGGCCTACCCCTACATATGTATGTACACTGTACAGTGTGAGGCATATGTAAACGGGTGTGCACTTTGTGTAGTGTTTTAATTTATGTGAGTGTCGATTAACTTAATGGCTGCGCCTAGTTGTATGTTGGACAATAAATATGCCAATTTAGTGAAAAGCCAAAATATGCCGTATCCCAATTATTTTAATCTAAGCCAAAACTAAGCGACTAAGCTTGCAATTCAATTTTTAATTCAAATATCATCAGATACTGCATTAATAAATTGGATATATGGTGGTTACGGTAGGAGTAGGCTTTGTTGGTGCTGCGGTTTGTGGTCCGGGAAAGCCAGTCGTTGAACCGGCCTCTACGGGAGCTCCATTTGGAGGAGTTGGATTCGGCGGAGCAATGGTGGGTACGGTCTCGGCCGTAGTCCAGGGGGTGCACAGCAGGAAGAGGCAAATGCTCAGCAGCAGATACAGGACTGCAAAGGATTTACAATTGGATATTGGATGCTAAATCCTATTTAATCACGATATATTCTCGTACTTACATTTCATGGCGATGGCGTGACAAAGACTGTTGGCCTGGCCCCGCCTTCGAGTGGCTTTTATGGCCGAAAAATAAAGCGCTGATGACTTATTAATTAAATTTCAAAGCTAATCTCTGTGGCATTGTGGCATTGGGCTTATCAAAACTCGGATACTTGGATATGGAAATACCAATGGCCAACGTCGCCGTAGTTTCACCCAATAAATAATAAATATATTTTTCCTAAAAGAAGATAATCGCTGAAGGCGGATATCTGTTCTTGGAAATAAATATATCCACCCATACATTTACATATATGTATGTACGGGTATGTACATCTACATGTGGTGTGCACATGACGCACACTTGGTTCACATATTGTTTTAAATATATATGTATGTATAGTGTCGGATCAGTGCCAATTGTAGGTCAGGAATAACGAATGCGTTTGATTGGTAATGCATTTTATTTATTTATCTTTGTTTTTTTTTTCCATTTTTGGTGATTATTTTTGCATAGAATACATCGATCGAATCAAGATCAAGTCAAACTTAACGACAAACAGTAACGTAACATAGTTCGGATAGACGGAATAGCTACTCTCACATGTAGATAGATAGATAGATAGATAGAATACATATTTGAACTCGTTGATATATGTAGCGATATTCCAGTTAACAGTTTAGAGTTGAAACAATAGACAAACATACAATAGAATATATAAGTAGCAACAATGAACACAGCAACTAGTTTGATATACACATACACAACTATAAGTAGTATCTGGTTGTCCTCTAACAGTTTTTTTTTCCATTTATATATATAGTTTCTCATGTAAATAACATACGTATATATGTATTGTTTTTGTTGTATAGAATATTGATTGATAGCGATCGTAATCACTAACAAAACACACGTGTCACTAACATTTCAAACAGACAAACATATATATGTATATTCTATATATGGTATATAATTTCCTTTTCCACGTATTTCTTTCCTTTCTTTTCCTTCTCCACACCCGTACTGGGGCGGCATATGTAAATTTATTGATATGTATTGTTACGTCTCAAGTCTATACGCGTACAATGATTTCTCTCTACATATTTTTCGTCATTCGTATTTCTCTGATATGTATGTATAGTATATATGTATATATAGATATATTCCTCCAAAAAGCCTTTAGTTACGGGGTATAGTATACCATTTTGCTCGCTAGATATGTATGCATACACGAGTAATAATAATTGTTTTAATTTAACAAGCAACGAAATTTCAGTAACAAGCATAGAGCACAGTTGCAGCTACTAGCATAGCATAGTACTAGTACTAGTACTTTCTTTTTCCTTTCCCTTTTGTTTTTTTTAGTATTTTATTTGAATAGAACTCAACGCAACGTAACGAAAGTATTGCATACTTGTGGGCGGCATGGCCAAACTGCTTAGATTGCTTTTGTAAACAAGGGGAGGGGGCTAAGCTCGGCTAATTTAGTTTTGGTTAATGCATATTCATATTTACGATTATATTGCATATATGTATTATTAACACACTCAGATAACAGCGTTAACGATTTGACGCGCATAAAATTGCTCTAAAACATTTAATTGACTAGAGTGGCTCTGGTGACCATCTACGAGGAGTACTTTCTACTGTCAGTAGGTTAGGTGATGGGGATGGGGATGGAGAGGGGCAATGGCTTGCAACATGATACTATAATGATTGACATTAGTTTTCGATTTCGTTCGGACCCAACCCGCTCGTTGGGTGGCTTCGCTTGGTGGTGATTTGGTCACAAATGAAACGCCAGGAGGAGGCGGTCGCAGACGCCAGTTAACCACAGATTTACATTTAGTTTCGTTCGCTAATTTGCTAAGGTACATTTACTGATATGTATATGGTGTATATATATATATATATATTTATATTCCCTTCGTTCCTTCGCGCTCCCTTTTTAATTCTGCAACAGATCCCGCATGATGTCCAGCGAGTCCTGCAGCGACTTGGCATACCGGGAGGCGCTCGTGTCCTCGCACGAGTAGAATGCTGACACACAGAAGACAATCTGCTCGGGCTGCGGATTGTAGGAGCAGCCGTAGCCACGTGGCGTCACCGGTCCATAGCCCATAAAACTGTCCGTGCTGCAGGCAACCTGTGGACGAGGACGAGCAGCAGCATTAACATGGGGCAATGGGGCGACTCTTAGCCTCTTAGCCTTGATTCTAGCTGACTAGCTGATACGTACTTGTGCAGCGGGTGAGTGCTGTGCTATGCTGTGCTGTGCTGTGCTGTGCTGTGCTGTAGTGGTGGTGGATTGTGGTGCAAGAATTGATTAAGTGGTGCAAACAGAGGTGAGAGAGTGAAAGGTGCGGGTGCGGGTGCAGGTGCGGGTGCTGTTAGCTGCATTTGACTACCTGACTGGTGGAGAGCAAGAAGCACTGCGAGATACTGTAGGACTCGTCCGTGAACAGTTCGTGCAGTTCGCCGGTGACCTCCATACTGGCCTCACGCAGTCCCAGCAGCGGTATGTCGATGCCGCTGCCCAGAATGTTCTTGACCATCACCTCCGTCTGGCGGGCCACGGCGCAGCGGAACAGCTCCCGCAGATGATCCTTCTGTAATTGACAAAAGTTCAACTAGACGATCGCTTGGATGGGATGGCAGCCACTCGAATACCCACACTGTAAATGCTAAACGTGACCTTGCGCGACTCTTCCTCGTCCTCGCGATCGCTCTCCAGCGTCACATTGGCGCCCTCACCCTGGCACATGGCCTTGGCCCATTCCAGTGCCTCCGTACTGGCCGCTCGAATGCAGTCCACGCGTCCCTGTTGATCACACGGATGGATGGCAAATAATGGCAAATAATTATTAAAAAATAATCCGAAATTTATTTAAGATTTGTCTCCACCTCTTCCACTTCTTCCACTGATAATGGCAGAAATAAAAAGTGGTGGGGTGGGGTGGGTGGTGTGCAACTCACATGCAAGAATCGCCTGGTGGATGCACTCTCGTAGGTGGCCACCAGACGGCCATAGAGCTTGTAGTGCGCCAGCTGCAGGGCCAGCTGAATGTACACGTCCGGACTGACCTGGCACGACTTGATGAACGTCTTGCCATAGCCCCGATAGCGGTACACATAAAAGTCCAGATCATCGATGGCCTTGTCCACGCTTTTGGCCGCCTGGCCGAAACGCAGCTGCAGCTGCGCTCCACTCACATGCCACTCGAGACGCTCGGGCGGCGGCAGATGGTGCTGCGGCAGGCCGTTGTCCTCGGCCGGATGCTCGACAATGTTCTTGTAGATCTTCTCCAGCAACTGCACCACGGCAATGCCCTCCGATGTGGAGTGCTCGTAGCACAGGCCCCAGCTGCCGTCGGTGCAGATGATCAGCTGCGGGCAGCAGAGGAGACAAATGTTAACCCTTCCCATGTGGAACCCGAGCGAAAACTCACCTGCATTGTCTTGTCGAACCAGCGATTGCCCGAGTTGTAGTCACTGCCACCGCCGTGGATCATCTCGTGGGCCATGTTCGTCTCGTCGCGGTCCCCGGCCCTGTGCATGGTGGGCGTGGCTCCGCTGAAGCCGCGTGCATTGAAGTTGCCGGCCAGTGGCTCGTCCAGGCACAGCACCACCAGGGCCGTCTCAATCAGCTCCAGATTGCGCTGATTGCGCTCATCCGACTGCAGAGCCTCGCGATCCCGAGCCCAGCGTGTCCGCGGCTCGGCGGTGAGCAGGCCAACGGGCACTGGCTTCGCCGGCAGACAGGGAGCATCGCTCAGCACGTAGAGGATCTGGGAGGCGATCTCGCTCTCGGACAGCTTGCCCCGGTCGGAGGCCTGCAGCACCACGCAGTACATTTGATTGCGGCAAATGACAACCACATGGCGATCCTCGTCGGTGGTTCGCTCGCGCGACGGCAGGTACTGGGAGTCGCGCTCGACGCCGGGCCGGCGACAGGAGCCCAACAGGCGATAGTACTGGGCCATGCACAGCGGCTGGTTCTTCTCACGCGAGGCGGTCCGCTCCAGTGGCAGCTCGCCGCTGTCCAGCATTTCCTTGTGCGCCAAAATGCCGTCGAGCAGCCGGGCAGCAAAGTGGGCCACATCGTGGACGGTCTTGAAGCAGCGCGGCGGGAACACCATGCCAGGATTCGAGTTGATCGGCAAGGGAATGCGCACATTCATGTACATGTCATTGAGCCAGTAGTAGTAGGCCTGCATGGGCATGGGTACGGGCATGGGAGAAGTGGGTGTAGTGGGTGTAACATGGAAACGATATTATTGGAGCCATTTCCGCTTCATGTTCGACACAAATTCAATTAGGCCCCGAAATTCGGGGGCCGTGGGTGTGGCAGCCAGAATCAGCCTTCTATCAGACCCGAATCAGAGACCTTATCTGGCATTCCGTGCAGAGATCGATCGACTGATACGCAACGAGATGCGCAGCACTATAAATAATGGCAACTGGTGCGATCAGAAATCAGTACCAGCAGCAGCAGCAGCAGCAGCACCAGTACCAGAGCTCCCCACATCATTCACGGATACCACACCCCAACCAAGCCAGCCCAGCCCCACAACATGAAAGGTAGGACTCGTCTTCGTCATCGCATTGTAGAACACCTTAAACCCCATTCCGTTGCTTGCAGTATTTGCCCTGACTCTGCTCTGCCTGGCTGCCGTGGCACAGGCCCATGTCAGCTACAAGCTGCAGTGCGCCCGCGGCGAGATCGGCATCCGCTGGCCCAGCTACCACAGCAACTCCGAGTACTTTGTGTGCCAGGGCGTCTACGGCAGCCAGCTGACCATCCACTGCCCGCCCGGCGAGGTATTCACCTTTGTGCTGCAGCAGTGCGCCTCTCCCGCCCACTACATCCCAGCGCCGCCAATCGATGTCCTGCCCACGGCAGCTCCCATCACAATGACCGTCGTGGAGGACGCACCGCCAGTGATGGCTGCCGCTCCCAGCCTGTTCGAGCAGCATGAGACTGCCGAGCACCACGAACACCACGAGCACCACGAGCACCAGCCCGAGGAGGAGGCTGTTGTGCTGCACCCGAATTCCCCCGACCCCAGCACCCGAGCCACCAGTTGTGGAGTCCGCCGCCAAGCCCGTGCCCATGCCCCACAAGGTCAGTGGCGCCAAGAAACCCGTCGTACCAGTGCCCGCCAAGAAGCCCGTCGCTGCGGCCAAGAAGCCAGTGGCTCCCATCCCATCGAAGGCCGCCAAGAAGCCCACACCACCCAGCAAGGCACAGAAGAAGACAGCGACTGCCTAAGCGTCCGAACCATCGTTACAGCAAGCGGAAATCCATTCACAACTCAAAATAGCAAATAGCAATAAAAGAAAGTAATTAAATATCCACCTGCAACCAGCTTGAAAGTACATTTTCTGTGGGGGAATGGGAAGAGGAAGGGAATCGACAGAAATGACAGGCACCACTGTCAGCCGAGTGCTGCCTTATCGTGGCGGGGAGTCAACATTTTAATTGATTGCGATTTCTTGTTATTTTCGGAACACCCAACTGACATTTGTTTCCGATAATGTAAAGTGAAACAGAAATAAAATAAAATAAAATAAATAACAAATGGTGGAGCGCCAGGCCCAGCTAGGGACAAAGCCAACAAAGGCTCGTAGGTGGAATTGAGAACCTTTAATTGGTTCAATGGTTCAGTGGAGACATCCGGAATCTGCTGCCACTGAAGCATTCAAATTTTAAATGATGAGAGCCCAATGTGATTCCCAGCGTGAAACGATTCTGTTATCTGCGTGCCAAAGATAAAGTGCCAAGAATTTCAATTCGGCAGAAATGCCATGAAGTCATTGCCATGGGAGGCCAGCAGCCCAGCAGCTCCACACCGCAGCACCGCAGCACCGCAACACCCATACGCGTAGATGATCTTCCGCAGTCATGCTAATTGTCATGCTGCTAGAGCTGGCAATTGGAGTCAGGGACAGAGTCTCGAGTATCGAGTAGTTTCCGCCATTTGTTATCTTCGCTTGGGTGTTTGAAGATTACCCAAACTTACAGAAGGAGAGAGCGAGAGAGGCGAGAGTTCTAAGGCGCATTTCGGTTCAATTATTTCGTTCGGCGTTTGGCATTTCTGATTTTAATTTCGCACCGCCACGCCACGCCCGACAAGACATGAATTAATCTAGCAGCGGGCTGATTACAAATGTCTAACATGCTCGATTCGGTGGCATAAAAAGGCTTTGCCAGCGCTTGGGAATGCATCAGTGATCAGTTAGCCGAGTTAGGAGCGAGTCAGTCGAACCGAACCCAACCGAACCCCAAAATCAGCAGCAACATGAAAACAGGTAAGCAACAAACAGGTCGCCTCCACAGGATACAGGATTCGCCAAGAACGCAGCCACAAATTAATATCCCATTCGTCTGCTCCATTTCAAAAGTGATCTTCGTGCTGGCCGCCATCGTGGCTGTCAATGCCCAGAGTACGTGCGACAGAACGCCAGAGTACGCGCAGAAGATCGAGCCTGTCAGCTGCCCGACGGCCGGGATTAAGCTGCCCAACTACGCCAATGCCTCGACCTACTACCAGTGCAACACAGCGGGCAGCAATGGCACGCTGACGCCCTGTCTCAGCGGTAACTTCTTCAGCTACGTGAAGCAGAACTGCGCACCCTGCGACTCGTATCTGCCCTCCGCACAGTGCTCTACACTGCCCTTCAAGCCCACATGCGTGGACATTGGGTCCACCACACCGGAGGGGACCACTGCCGCACCGCCGACCACCAATACTGCAACTACCTCCGGTGTGACCAATACTACGGCCACAGTAACAGCTACGACAGGATCAACAACAGTAACAACTGCGGCACCCACCACCAGCAAAAGCACCACCTCAGCTATTCCAGAGCCACCCACTGAGGCACCCAGCAGCACAACCCAGGCCGGCGATTCACCTGCAGGCAGCACCGTTTTCGTTCCCCAGCCTCCCTCCCCCGGTGAGAGCAATGTGCCCAGTCCGGTTACGCCCGTGCCCACTGCCCCGAACATCGAAGTCACTCCCCCAACCATCACCGAAGCCCCAACAGGCCGCAAGTAAATCAAACGTAAATCAGTTCAGTACATCCGCATCTCTGCATGCATAGTACAGATATACAGATATACAGATATACCTATCCTGAATAAAGTGTTCGCAGAACAATGATCCAACACAATGGCAACACACAATCTTACCCAGTTATCGTCGACATCGCGCTTGTCCAGCAGATACTGATGCAGGCGTCCACCGAGGCCCTGCGGTGCCGTAAACTGCCTGATCAGCTCCTTGGTCCGCTCCAGCTGCGCCGGCGTCGTAATGGGCTCCAGGGCGCGCACATAGTCGGCCATCGTTTCCTCCAGCGGTGGGACGGGTATCTTGGGTAGAGTCTGCAATGGACAAAGGGCAAAAGGGTTCTCAATGGGCAAAGTTAGGGTTTCGCTGGCCCATCGGCTGCAAATTTCATTTCATTTCATTTCGTTTCGTGTCATCTCAAGCACTTGGCACTCTGGATTTTGCGTTTTCCCCCATTTCCTTCGACATTTCCTCCGTCATTTTCCTCATTTGTATGCATGACATTATCGAGCTCCAAATAGAAAGTTTCCAGCTCCTGCCAGCGGCAACGCAGAAACTTAATCCCCGAGGGAACTCAATTGCAAATCACACAAAAACGAAGGGAAAGAAAATGGCATTGGCACGAATCTGACATTGTCCGCCCCCTCGCAGCAGCCACCGCCCCCGCCGCCGGTGCTTGAGTGCTTGAAATTTCTTTCTTTTCATTTCCTAGTATGTATCCATCCATCCACCCCTGAACTCCCTCGGAGAACTTAATTGAGAGTTCTGCACTTGAAATACCACAGTCGCTGTGGGGGGTGCCCGTGCCGGTGCCTGCATTCCAATCGATTTCCATGAATCTGTTGCAGCACATTCGGCGAAAATTCGGAGAAATTCGGGTAAATGGGGATGGGGAAACCCAACCTTGGGTTGGTACTAGCTGGTGTTGGAAAACACAATTTGCCACTTAACAAAAAACAGTCGAAACGTTGAAAAAGTGTCACTTTTTGTGTTGTTGTTGACTCTCCGAGCATCCCGGTGCTCAGTTTTCAAAGGAAGCGACTGGAACTGCTCCTGCTCCTGCATATCCTGTCACTCGCCTTTGTCAGGCGAGTCATCCCCCCCCACTCCCCAATGGCTTTAACGCTTTACAATCTCTGTTTTTTGGGGGTTGCTACGGCTGCTGTGCTTTTTGTCAGGTGAGTGTGAGAGGTTGGGGGTGGGGCTTGGGTTAGGGTTAGGGTTCGGGGTCGGGCTGGCAGGTTTTGTTTGCCCAAGTTGTTGGCTGGCAGGTTGCGTTGCCAGGCAGCCACCGGGTTGCCTTTGCCTTTGCCCCTTTGCCTGTTCCCCCACGGACTGGGGACGTACAAAAGCGCTTGTTATTTGCATTTGTAATTATAACAAACAGGATTAGTCTGTCTGTCTGTTTGTCTGTCTGTCTGCGTGTGTATCTGTGTCTGTGTGCGTTCGAATTTGGTCTTTGAATTATTCAAGTACGAGTAGCGGGCATGTTCAGCCTTTGGGCAAATATTTGAGCCAAACAAAGCAAAAGAAAAAGAAAAAAAACAGAGAAAAAAAAAGCAGGGGAAGGGTAGGGAAATGGGAATTTGTTTAATCAATTTTACTCACGTCAGGGAATCCAAATTCGTCTACGGACTCGGCCGTGGAGAGCCATTTCTTGGGAATCGACAGAATCGAGTCTCTCCATCCTGGAAGAACAAAGAAAACAAAAAACACAAGTCGATCGTTGATTAAGCGCTTGTTGAACAACAAATTTAATTGTTGTGTAATTTCATTGTTGAGGGTGTCGCTTTGAGGGTGTCACATTTAGTAATCGTTGGCAGCAGTACACCAGAGACCGAGACCACCACACCGATACCGATACCGAAAAGCTAGTTGATCACTGTCACAAATCTCAAGTGACTACGCCGCCGTTTAGCTGGTTATATCCCAAAAATGTGCCCAATGCTATCGGCTATTGAATGACAGGCATCGGTGTAGACCAAGACGTATCGCCCATGCGACACCATTGAGTTTGGAGCATTGGAGAAATTCCACAAAACTGTGGAACCCAACCCTTGATTTGGTTTCACTTTATCTCAAGTTCAAATTACTCCCCCACTCCCCCACCCCACACAGCAACTCAGGAACATACGAGAAACACACACGATTCAGACCATGATTCGTGCAAGTTTGCCATTTATTGTCTGGGCCAGGCATCCGCTCACGAAATGCAATAAAACTGGTCAGAGGAAACTGAAAACTCTCGAGCTTAAACCCTCGTCCATTTCCTTTTAGCCGTCCGTCTTGATTTACCCCATAAAACTTTCGACTGTCATTGATGTAACTCAACTGTATAAGCACTTCCGGCTGCCATTCCGCCCCGCCCCCGCCCCGCCCCCGCCAACGACCCGGCCGACTAGCGAGCAGAGCAGCAAATTTCCGGCATTAGTTCGCATGGCCCCGAGGCTGAGCTGAGGCTGCGGCACGATTTACGATTATTGTCACTGCCAAATACAAATGAGAACTGGATACAAAATACTTTATTCTCCACGTACTTATTTGTGTACACGGAAAACGGAGAGGCTACTATGTTTCCAGCTCATTTTAAACCATAAATATCAGTTATTGGAAACGCTTCCTTCTTCCGATTACATGCGAGTGCAGCATACCTTGGCGCTCTACGTTCTGCGGGTATCCAATCAAAATCTAATCAAAAATGGTCGTCACTTGAGAGGGAAGCAAGGAAGCGCCATATACTGAGCACTTGACCGCTTTCCGTTTGAAGCACTTCCGTTGTGAGCTCTGAGGAGGAGTAGAATGACATTGCCCGCTCTCAGGCTGACTCTGCACGCACCCACCTTTCGAGGACAATCATAATGTTATTAATAAAAGTCGTTCTATGACAATATCGGGATGAAAGGAAAACGAGTGGATTGGCCCATTCCCTCCCACTCCTACGCCATGGCACGCGTCGCCCCCACAACGATGTCAAATTTAATGCAATTTATTATCCTTTTTTCATTATCTCGCTAAAGATGCCCCCCCCAGCACAGCCAACTAGCTGGCGGAGGTAATCACACAATGGAGTCACGTGGCAGCAATTTGAGCGTCCGTCCGCTCCATTGTTGCCATTGCTGGAACAACAGGCAGCACCAACCACAAACCAGGCCGTAACCAGCCCGTAACCAGCCCGTAACCAGCCCGTGCCGACGTCTCTGCAAATTGTAATAAATTGTGTTAGCATGAAGCGGCGCAGAGGAATTCAAATTAAGTAATTAAAGCTCTGGTTTGGGGTTGATTACCCTTCGGGAGATCTGGCTAATATTTTCCTTTTAATAGAGAAAATATTAATTACTCAAAAAGTTGCCTTCGCCTGATGCATAACTATAGATTTTAATTATAAAGTTTACGGGCCCCGACTTGGGCATGTTCCGACTTATAAATGTTATCTGCTGGCGTTTTCTTTGCGTGGCAATTACCTGCACAGCCGGCTCCCAGTCCTGGCCTGGGTGTGTCCACCTATCTGACACTTTTTGCTGCCGCTGACAGGCTGCAATTTAAAACATTTTCCATTAGGATTGGGCGGCTGCAGGCCCAGGCAAGCAGCGCGGTGTGTCACCTTCAATTATGTGCATTGGCGGCGACACTTTTCCAATTGATTGATTGATTGATTGATGGCCGGCATTGCTGATTAGAGCGACAGACGGCTAATCAGATATTCATGCACCATTACAAAGGCAGACGGAGCACAGTTCCGGATCCAAGAACACAACCCACCCCCAGGCATCGCTCCCCTTTTGTGTCAGCTTCAATTTGTTCGATTCCTGTCAGTTTTTTGTGGCAAATCATGATTCGATTTGGACCGGGGCCCCATAACTTTTGCGGCAACAGATCGATGCATTATGATTACGGGCCGATGGGGGGAGATGGGGATAACAATTCACACATTGCCAGTCACAAAGCGGGGGCTTATGTCCAACACGCCTCTTCCTTAAATGGCGCTCCAATAAAACGCGTCAGTAAACCGAGCGGCTCATTATTAAGCTGCAAAAATCACGCTCGAAATCATAGCATTCCGCCCCAGCCCACAGCCACCAGCCCCCCCTGCCACATTCCCATTTCTCCTGCGCCTCGACAGGCAACTGCTGCCGCCTGTCAGACAATGCGATAAAAATGTAATCCCAATGAAAAATAATGTTTCTGCTGGCATGATTCCAATTTAGCAACAGTCAACCCCAAGACCGTAGCTCATTAGAACGTAGCCGGGAATGGTATGGCATGGCATGGCAAGGCATGGGATGGAGCTGCTAACCGAAGCAAATGAAGGAGAAGAATTTAAAAAGGCAAAACAAATCCCGTACACAAACGAGGCGAGGGGACGCCGCTTCGCCCACGCGACACGTTGCGACTACATAAAACACCAGCGGAACAAGCTGTGACCCCCACCGCAGTATTGGTGCTGGTACCAGGCCGGGGTCCTGGGATGCAGGGTTCCTGGGCTGGTATGCTCGCAGAGGGTCATAACATTGTCGAAGCCAGGCCATGAATGGATGAATGAATGAATGAATGAGTTTTTGCTCCTTTGTTCGTTTCGTTTTGGCTGCTCGTAAAGGGCTTTATTCCGTTGCAAGGGTGGGCCTGTCGCCCCTTCGCACGCACATCACAATTGAGCCGTAAATCCTTTACGGTCTTAGCGGCTGCTGTACTTTCCGTACTTCGTTGCTCTTTTGTGGCCTGGCCTGGCCGGGGTCTGTCTTCGCTTGGCTTTATTTTCCGTTTCAGTTGCTGGCAAATGCCTGGCATACTTTTGTGCGCCAAACTCAAATTAACTGCCGCATTGAGGCATTGAGGCATTGAGGAGATTTTTGTAATTGTTCGAATTGAAACAAGCGGAAAGCGCAAATTTCTAACGTATTGTGGCTGAAACAATTGTGGCCGGAATTGGGAGCAGGGCTGCCACTGCATTGACTTGGTGCCCTGTTTGCGGCTTAGCTTCTGTAGTTTCCAAAAGATACACACACACACACACACAGCACACATCGGAGGATTCAGCTGATTAACCTCTGTCTGTGGCTGTGGCTGTGGTTTGGGCGCCAGGCGCTCGCCCTGAAGCCAAATCCTCCCCAGAAAAATGACAGAAACTTTTTGTCCCAGCCTGCCCAGCCTCCACGTGTTTGCTGTTCGTGACGCAGCCCAAAGTTGCTAATGGAAATTGCAAACATAAAATCATTTTCCACACGAATCTCTGGCCCCAGGGCACGCACACAATATCCCCAGACCCCCCTCCCCCCACAAAACAGGGAGAATCATGCAAAAGTTTTCGCTCCACCTTCCTTCAACCTTTGCTCGAATTGATGTGTACAATGTGGCTCGATTTTTATCCACCCTGAACTGGACATGCTCATCCCTGTGCTATTCATTAGCTAATTAATTGCATTAATTGTTAATAGATCGGATGAGCTACAGCTGTCAGTTTGCGTCTCTGTCGCCATTGAAAGACACTTTTTTCCATGGTTAACAATTATATTTCAATAGTACATGTTTGTTTTTGTTTTTGTTTGAGTGTGTGTGTATGTGTGTCTTTGTGTGTTTGTCTGTGTTTGTGTGTTTGTGTGTGTCGCTCTGTAATTATTCAATATCGTTCCTTTATAGCTCTTGCCAGTGCTTATACATTCGGTTATACGAGTAGTTGCTGTTGGTTCAATTCACAATTCATAACATTTGTCTTTGGCCCGAAGCACTGCCCATAGAAAATCTCATTGGATGCTGTTCAAATACGGCCACAAATTCATAGACCAATGCCGAATGTGTGAGTGGTAACTGTATTTGTATTTGATTAGAAATGTCCTTGAAATGTCCAGCCAAAAGCACTTTTCAGACTTGTCAGTGACTTGAACCGAACTTCAAGGATATTTGAGGGTCGGCAATCCGAACCAGTGCCTGCCTCTATACCATCCTGTATACATTTGCTTATAGAGGAGACTTTTGGGGGTATGGTATTCCATTTCTGAAAATATTGTATGCTCTAGCTATTTTGTTCGCTCATTAATTCGTTCATTGATTCGCTTTTCGTTTTGATATGCATAGCATTTAGTTTTCATTTAGTTTTGGGGGGGGGGGGGATAGTAGTTAAGGTCTGTCGATATACCCATCTGATACAAACATAATTACGTATAGAATATAGATGGATAGACTTGGAAATTGAACAGCAACGTTACAGAACTGGGATTTTCGATACTTGTTAGAGTTAGAGTAAGAGTAAGAGTTGTTGTCTTCCGCTTACTTATTTGGTATAATAGTTTGTCCACTGTTTATAATAATAATTATAATTATTGTTTAAATATATAACAGAAACGTCTATAACATTAGCCGAAACAAAACTGCAAAGTCGCACAAGTACGAGTATACGATTTTGTACGAGTATTTATGTACTTTGATACATTTTGACTTTGACTTTGACCAAAAATTACATTTCGAAACTAACGATATATGTCTTATATACAATACGAAACTGAACTGTGGGTCTTTGTCTTTCCATTTCATCTAAGGGATACATTAAAAATTTTCTAAACTTTCACACAACACATAGAAACTGTCGAGAGGCATTTGTTATGCATATACGAAAAAATATAAATTATCTTTCTGTGCTACGAACTGATTTTGCTGCCCCAAAAGAATATACATATATAAGTACCTATATCGTATAGTATTTTTTTTTGCTTTAGATATTTATGTTTTGTTTTAGTTTGTTTTAGTCATTAATTATGAATAGCGCACAGTGTTGTGTGTATCATTTATTTAATTCATATAATTTATATAATGCCATTGAACATTTAACACTTGTAATACGCAGAGTATAACCATTCAATTCAATTAACTTCTATCGCTTTTTATATTCATTTGCATATAATCATATACTATTTTATCATACATATTTATTAATTTATACTCGTATTTATATATATTTATATTTATATGCTTGCAACGCATTGCAGTTGATGCACTCCTGACGCTCTTCTTACTCTTTCTGCAAGTTATTACACATTTTCCGGCACTATCGACCTACTCTGACCCTAACCCAGGTACCCAGGAGTACTGGGTTGACTACACTATGATGTGATGGTTATTATTAGCTTTTAGAAATATTTGTAAACCCAAGTTGGAAGATTCTTCATATACATTATGCCCTCTGTCCGACATCTGTCTATTTTATATGCAGCCAAGTACACATGTAAAGTTCATTGAAAGTTTTTGAAAGAGAATTGAACAAAGATTTCAGGGAATACAATACCCTACATGTCCATGGCTAATGATGTTTTATGATGATTTTTCAGACATCTTTCAGAAATATTGCTTTTGGGTATTACATTTGTGTTTATGTTAAATATTTATATGGTTACTCGCATTTAAAATTCTATTTGTTAGCTACTTAAACAAACATTCTATTGATAATATGGTACATAATTCTATATTCTTTATTGACTATTTTAATTACTGTTTTTCTATTCATCATATATGTATATGTATATATAAATATGTTAATTTGCTTTAACTCTCTATTCATCACCTCTTCCTTTGTCCTTCCTTTTAATTGATACTTTTGATGGGAGATTTTTTCATGAGTTTAATTCATTTTTATAGTTAAGAGTATTTCTACAGTTTCTGTAAATATGTAGAACTGTGTATACATAGTATATTCGAATTGTGTGTGTGTGTTTTTTTGCTCTGTAAAATCATTGAAAATTATGACAATTTTTTAAAGGAATTTCTAAGAAAAACGCTGTTAAATAAATTCTCTTGAAAATATTTAAGTTACTTTAATAAATACATACAAATAAATCTCAAGACAAGATTCTCACAAATAATGCATATAAAATATAAAAATATTTCAGATCTTCTTGTTTTGTTTTTTTTTAATTATTAAAAAATATTTAACATTTTATTAACACATACAAAAATCAACCAAAAAGTTTGAACATTTATAAACTACATGTGAAAAATGTGGGACTTGATAGATAAATTTAATGATATAAAATAATAACATTAAATGATTTTCATATCCGAATTAGAACTTTTTTCTTCCCAATAATTCTTGAACATAATTCATAATAGTTCTTTAGTAAAAATCAGTGCATTTCACATGTATACGAGTATTTTTTTCTATATGCTATATCTATGTATGTATGCAGGCAAGCTGATTTAACCAATTGCTCTTGTAATTCATAAGATACATATGTATGTTTGTATATTTGTTTGTATATATTTTCCGATAGCAGTTCCAAAATGGCAATTTTCCACTGATATGTGCACCGATATAGAAAGTCTGAGATATACATACGTACGTAATTGTAATCGCTGACTAGAACACATCTGAGAGAAATGTACATAAATACGTATGCATACTATATATAGGTGTATATAAAAGATCAGTTTGCTTATCGTTACATATATACCATATATCTCTCTGTATGTATGCATATGAGTAGATCAGATCCTAAGATTCCGCTAAAAGGTGTATAATATAGGGACAGTAAACTGCCTTCAAAAAAGTGGTGCCATCGAAATGAATCAAATATTTTGTACGCGCATTATACGAGTAGGCATACAATAATCGTTTATCTTTAGGTTTTAAGTTTTAGGTATAGCTTTTCGTTTATCTTTATCTTATAGACAAGGTACACACATTTATGCTATGCTATAGATGATCTACTATGTATGGCGGCAGTCCAAGTCCCCTGATCGGGGACTCAGGGGAACCGCCGCATTGCCCATAGAGTTCAACAAGCAAATAATAATTGATTGGTAGGTAACTATGAAACTTTGAATAATTTCAAATTGATTTCTTCGGTTTCGGTTTCGGTTTGGGGTTTTGTTTTCTGTTGTTGTATAAGTTATATGTACAGTCTATGTACGACCTAAAAGTAGGGTTGTGTTGTGTATGTTATCGATATGATAAGATATATGTATGTATAATATGTAGACTAGTAGCAATAAGTAATATCACTTTTGGTAATTTTAACAGGCGAGCCATCGAGACTCTGATATGTATCGTTACCTTGGTTGTGTCTTATGTTGTGAAACACATAACTCAAATTCACATTCTCCTCTGCGTCCGGTTAAATCGAAAATAATATGGTTTATCTGGTCACGAATCCACTCTCGGGCCCCAGGTCCGCCACAATGGCAACCGAAAGAGTTCCTCTTGTTCTGCGGCTGGGGGTGTTAGGATTTCCATTTTTTTTTGTGCATCTTGTGATATGTCTGCGATATGGATGCCATTGCCTGTAGGACGGCGGCACTTGGGTGAGAGTGGTCCGGGTCCAGCTAAGCCGCTTACAAACTACGTTGTATACAAATACAATATATATTTATATATATATATATATATGTGTGTGTGGTGTGTATGTGTATGTGTGTATATAATATCTGATATATATATTTGATATATGGGGATGATCCCTTCTATCATTATACCTAACTATGACTGACTTTGGTTTCTCTAGCTTCACTGACTGATAGACACGAAAACGGCTGCTTGAGTACTGAGTATAGGGCATAGGCGTCCCGATCGGGCCGCTCTATATAGCTGCTGCTACCACCTACATACAATATACGCAGATGTATGTGTATGTAGTTGATTCAACTTCGTGTATAATACAAAACGTTGGTGCGGCGGTGCATGGCATTAACTAGCTGCTGTATTAACTATCTGCATGTCAATGCTTGTTATAGTGTACGTACCACTTGCCTCTATATGTATATATTATGTAGGTATGTCTGTGTCTGTGTAGAATTATATACGTAGTGGGTTCAACAAATAAACAAACCAAATAACCAACGAGAACTGTGTGCAAGCACTGCCCACAGAGCTGTACAAATGAACATGAATTAACGTACTATAGATCTAGGCTTTGTCTCAGACAACAGTTTAAAATCCTTGTCTGAAGGGATTCGCCGGTGCGCCTGGACCTCTGCTCTGCGACTGCTGCTGCTGCTGTTGCTGCTGGAAGGGATTGGCCACTCGAGGCTGCTGTCCCTGCTGGGCGTAGCTGCCGCCCTGCTCCTGATAACCGGGCTGGTAGCCCTGATCCTGCTGATAGCCACCCGTCTGCTGGTATCCCTGCTGGTTTTGCTGCTGCTGCTGCTGGTACTCGTACTGCTGATCGTCGAGATTGGTCTCCTGCTCCTGCTGATACTGCTGGCCGTACTCCAGATGATTCTTGACCTCGCCCTCGACCGGCTTCTGGTCGTGCATGACGTAGGTCTGATACTCCTTGTTGGGCGGATCCTGCATCAGGATGTTGGCCTCGTTCTCGAACGGCTTGAAGTCGTAGATGTTGCGCAGCTTGCGCAGCACGGGCACATAGGCCAGGTTGGAGAAGGCGATCATGAAGTTGAGGGCAGTGAATCCAATGGCCTCCACGACGCCGCCGGCGATGATCGGGCCAACGGCGTAGGCGATCGAGTATGAGATGTCCGCGATGGCGTAGATGCTGCCGTAGACGGACACGTAGCGCACGTCCACCAGGTAGCCGAGCATCGGCAGCAGGGCAGTGTCGATGAGCGCGATGCCGAAGCAGATGACGCAGATGGGCAGCATCAGCATCTTGTAGCCGGTGCAGAAGGGTATGATGAAGCAGGATAAGCCCTCGAGTGCCAGGCCGCCGGCAGCCATCAGCCACTGGTGTTGCGGATACTTGCGGGCCATCTTCACCGTGATTATCACGCCCAGCACGTGCGGAAAGAAGGCCGGCAGCCAGACCATGCCGATCTTCCAGTTCTCCGTGGTCATGTTGTCCTCCATCCACAGCGAAATGGTCGGGCTCCAGGAAGGCGAGTGCCACATTCGACATGGTGAGTGCTCCGGCACACACAGCAATGTACGGATCCATGAGGAGGCGCCAGATGGGTATGACCTGGTCCTGCACCTCCTTGCTCTGTCTGATCTGCTCCTTCAGGGGCTTCATCACCAGCAGCAGCATCAGGCCGTCGAGTGCGCAGACGAAGGCCAAAATCAGGAAAGGCACCTCCTTGCCGGCAAACTGGTACAGTGCCCCGCCAAAGGGTGGCGCCACCAGACAGCCAAAGCTAATGAACGCCAGCGCAATGCCCAGCGCCTGCGATCTCTCATTCTCTTCGGTAAAGCGATCGGCGATCATGGCCAAGCCCGCTGTGTCCGCAAAGGCCGAGCCGGCGCCCTGCAGCGAGCGTGCGAAGAACAGCACGCTGTAGCTTCTGCCGCAGGCGAAGACGGCCGTCGAGAAGAACATGATGGTGAGGCCAATCATCATGGGCAGGTCGTAGCCGATCTTATCGATCAGCCCGCCCGAGAACGGGTTCACCATCAGCTGGACGATGGCCTTGGAGGCGAACAGTATGCCCGTGGCCGAGTCCTGGCCATGGTGGTCGTGATGCACGGGTATAATCAGGCCGGTCACATTGTCCCGCAGCGGGGGTGGCGTGGGGCCCTCGTCGAAGTTGCTGATCTCGCGCAGATAGTCGGGTATGATGGGCACTATCACCATGTACAGCATGTTGTCCAGCAGCAGGGCTATGGACACGATGACCAGAATGAGGCGACGCTGGTTCACCGGCTCCTGGATCTTCTCCCACACGATCTCCTTCACCTCGCGCAGCTCCAGATTGATAACAGGTATTTGGAATGAGGAGGCCATATTGCTAGCTCTTACTTAATCTCTGAGGGTGTATTATGGGTTGTTCTTCTCTGTGTCTCCTTCCTGTTTCCTGTTTCGCTGTTTCCTGTTTGCCGTTTTGTACTCAAAGTTGCCGTCTCTCTCTCTCTGCTGCACTTTCACGCTGCTTGCTTGCACTGCTCGCTTTGCACTGCTCGCTTTGCACTGCTTTATTGGTGCTCGTGGCCTGTCAAATTCATGGTCACAGCCGGAAATTGCTTAGCACTGGCTACAAATATGGCTGCTTCCGTTTCCGTTGCGCTAATTGCCTTTGCCCTCTCACTTTTTGCCTTTGCTTTTGCTTGTGCTTTTGCTTTGAGGTGGTTTATAGTTGTTGTTGTTGTTGTTTGTAGTTGTTGCTGTTGCTGTGGTGTTTTTTTTTACATGTTTTCGTGTGGTTGTTGTAGTTGTAGTTGTACGAGTTGTGGGCATGCCAGTGAACAACCTTTAACGACACAGAAACAAGATTTCGTTAGTCTTTTCTTTTCTCATTAATTATTGCATAATAATCCTTCTCTTCGCGCTCGCTCGCTCGCTCGCTCGCTCCCATCCTCCCGCTAACAAGGATTAGTATTTATTTTTAGTAATTCGATTGCTTTTATGATTGAAATGTTGTTTCTGTGTTGCAAAAGGCTGCCTGCTGGTGAACAGAAATTGTATTGTTAGGATTTAGGATTAGTTCTTTGTGGCATGGGCGCGCGCACAGCATTCGAATGGTTTTTCATTACATTAGATTAGTTTTTCTTTTCTTTTCATTTCGAGTGACACACATTTCAATCATAAAACAAATACCGAACAAAAAGTAAGTAAATTCTACAATTAAGTCATGGAATATGCCGCCGCCGGCGAGCATAATAATCAAGCAATTATTTTAATTGGATTGTGCGGTAAAATTCGCTTCAAATGTGGCCATTCATTCAAATGGAGTCTGTCCCCCGTCCGCCCCCACCCCACAGCCCAAGTGGAGTGGAACGGAGTGGATTGAAGTGGAGTGGAGGACCCTTACGGCCACGTGGTTGTACTCATTGAAGCCCAAAGCCTACGCTCTGCTGTAATTATAATTATTGCTTTTGCCACACACAAAAAGGTCGGTTCACTCGACCCGCACGCAAGGACCCAAACATGAACTGCAGCAAAGAGGAACACAAAAAAACGAACCCATACAGGCTACAGACTTATTTTTCCAGGAAAAGTGCGTTGAGTCTGCTTTCCATCATTTTGGATTCACGCCTTTAAAGATTCTTCGTTCGCTGCTGTGCTGGCGCTATCAATGCTGATCCAATTTCAACATTTATGTACCTTGTATCCACCCCCAAAATCGGAAAACATGAAAATGCGACGTGTGCAGGGTATAAATATGACTACCATCCCCCCTCTCACACTCTAGCCACCTTCTCCTGCCCCTACCTAGAGCAGAGCCGCCCCCTCATCGGGCGCGAGACGTAACAAAAACATTTCGTTTTATCATTAAATTTTCATGACCACGTTCGTGTATATGCCCTGCCAGTGTCCCCCAGCCGCCACATCAGCCTTGGGTCCTGCCTTGATCGAGGGCGGCTACACACACACACACACACACATACACCCCACATGTACAGGGATACTAACAGCCCCCGTGATGTCCGTGAGTCAATTATGTTCTGTGGCTGTGTGAGTGTGCGAGACTTTTTTGCCAGAGACTTTAATTTTTGAGCTTCCCCTAACTACCATAATGGGAATGGGAATGGGAAAGGGAGAACTGAGTGAGTACTGTGAGGCCTGGGCCAGGTGGGTGGCCGCACTTGACCCTGTGGGTTGGGGAGGCTGGCTGGCGAGCTTTTATCTCAATCAGGGGTTGTTCGCCGCGCCCGGCTGCAGCGGCTCGAGTCAAGTGCAGAAACGTGTGCCTACATGTTGATTGTAACAACACCATTCAAAATACATATATCTAAGGGAAATGCCGTGCAACATTACGGGTATAAGCACACACGCAGCATAATTTACGAATATATTTACGCTTTTATAATTTTATTGATTTTTCCGCTCTGTCTGGCAAAGGGGCTCGCGGACAGCTGACGAATTTCCCAGCCCAGAACATTGAGTTTATGTTTCCCTCTGCCTTCATTATACTCATACTGTGGGGGCACGCTGTGCTGTGGCACTATTTGGTTTCCGTTTCATGTTTTCATGCGGCAACGCTACCCCAGGAGCAGGAGCAGCTTCCGACTGGCTCAATTAGTCGGCAGAGCGTTCATATTTTATGCAGCTTCCACCGCAGTGAATTATGGCAGCGCATGAGGCAGGCAACTTTAGTTTCTGCTGCATGGCCCCATTATAAATGTACCGCCTGGGGCTCGACCTGCTTCCGACTACAGGTGCTCCGACCAGAGAAGTCTGTCTCCACATGAATTATTCAGGCAGCTTTAAGATGAGCTGAGCTGAGTGAGTGGGAGCCAGTGCCAGTCATCGCTGCGAACTTTGAATGGCAGCCTGAATGGAAATTCAATCTACTGCTGCCAGACAACAAAAGTGCACTTTCGCTAGCTCCAAAATGGGATTTTGTGCAAATCAAGTGAAGGAAATTCTTAGCATTCAGAGGCTTAGAGTTTCGCCCACTTCATCTCCAAGATGATCCTCGACTTTTGCCGCTTTCTGTTCTCGTTGCCATGGGAAAATTCGCAGCCTGCTCCGGCCCATACATACATATTCTCCACAGGAAGACACCAACAACCGCTCCAGCTCCGTTTGGGTTGTTTGCTTTTCCAGCGGCAAAAAGGGGAATGAAATTACATTCAATTTTTTTCTTTTGCTTCGCTGCGGGGGCGTGGATAGATGGCTGGATGGGGTGGGGGTGTGGGTGTGGGTGTGCCGCCGTCGTCTGTCTGACGAGGTAATCAGCGTAAAATAAAATTTCATTTTCCTGAAGGGTAAGACATAAAAAAATGCGATACAATATAGCAAACATTCTGGGCCCGCCGCCGCCGACCTGCTCCTGTCGAGGCTGTTTGCATTCACAATGAGATGGCACGAAAAATGGCAGAAATTTTGGGAGCTTTGCCAGGGCAACAGATATTATGTTTTATGTATAGCCACCACCCCCCTCACCTAACCACCTGTCCGTATATCATTAAAATTAATAATCTAAAGAAATATCATCTGCTGATATTTGAGGGGACTGTAGGGTGCGGGGTGCGGTGTGTGCTTGCTTAAATAAACAGCAAAAAAAATATATCATAATATTTATGGTAAGCCGCATTTCACACGCCGCCTGCCACTTGACAAAAGGCAGCGGAAAATCCTCACAAGTGTTCGACCTCCCCCCAACCCACCAAACCACCTAGCAACCCAAAGCAGAACCCCCCACCCTGCTTTGACGGGGCTTGTAAAACTCCCCGCAAGTGTTGTAAGCAGCTTTGTTCAAGTGGGCGGCCTTGCGAAGGGTTGATGCGGCAAAGTTCTGTTATAGCCACACTTCTGGGTCTGGTGCGGCGACGGGGGCAGTGTGATACAAGAGTTTACCAGACCATTCTCTGTTCGATTGTCTGCTCGAAAGCTCCAGCTGAACCTTTGCTGCTCTTTGGATTATGCGCTGAGGCGTGTGCGCATATTTGTGGCCCAGAACCCAGTCCCAATTGTATCTAATGAACTGTGGCCAGCTAATGAGGCGCCACCTCACCTTGTGCCGCTACGCTCTGGATCGATTTACTTGCAGCCTTAACCCCCTTTCGACTGCCCAGTGTTAGTTTCTTGGTGACATTTCTGTTTCAAGTTTAACTGTCTTGGCTTGTATCGATTTCCCCCTTTCAACTGGGTTAACTAAGCCTGAGGCCAGCGGATTTGTTAATTGCAAAAGTTTCGCAGCCGAAAACGGAAAAGACCATTTTAAGGTCCACAAAAATGTCTCTCCGGTATAGAGGAAATGTGTCCGCAACCCTCTTCACAGGATGGCTGCTGCTTTTATTGCTGCTCTAGTGCTCCGATGCTGATGTGCTTTTATCAACTCCCAGCGGACCAGCAGCCACTTAGCCCGAGGATCCATTTCAAACTTGCTCGTATATTCATGGCAAATGCAGAGGAGAAAACAAAGCAAAACAAAAGGCAGCGCTGAGGCGCCATTTTGGGTTGGCTCTGATGGGCTCTGCTGGGGACCACGGGGCGTATGAGCATCGTGGGGCTGGGGCTGCCTATAAATCAAAACATTAACTGGGCGGATCCGGGAGGTGCCCTACGCACAATGGCAGTTGTCTATAATAATGGGGAGTGACTCTCAAATGTTCTTTTCTCCCCAAATTCGAGTGCGAGTGCGTGTCTAATGTCCGTGTCTTTTTCGCACACATGTGCAATTTTCTTCGCCCTCGACAAAGCCTCCCAACCCTCCTGGACGTGGTCAGCCACGAGCCTCGGATTACAAATTGATTTGCACATAAATTACTTGGACCTGGAGCATTGATGGCTCTTTGTATGTACCGAGAAAATAAATTACCTTTATTCTGGACCAAGACATTTCCCATTCGACAGTTAATTTACGAAGGATCTACAAGTTTTGGCCGTGTATTTTATATATAGTTTTTGATTAATAGTAGAGTCTGCCCCCTCTATCAAATTGCTAATTTCAAGCATCGAAGTGCAGAATATCCAGCATTCAGAATCTAGAAAATGTAACCATTTGTAGCCGTGCAAATGCGGAGCAATCAACAACACCATCAGCGCCCGGTTTACGACTTTTGATGTCGCTACTCCTGCTCCTGTTCCGTGTCCCACCCTGCCCTTAACAGTCCCCCCATTTCTGCTTCTGATGGCTCAATGTTCGCAACCCTCAAGAAGGCCTGTTCGGGGTCCCGGTCCGTGTCCGGGCACACTTTTATCAGACAGCATCAAGACAAATGCGTTACTTGTTTCTCGTTTAGCTTATTACGAGCTACCTTCCTGCCAGCCTTTGTTTCTGGCGTTTCCATCCCCTCAGGCGGTGGCTGGGTCTGCAGCAGGAGCTGGGGCTGAGGCTGGCTCTGGCTCTGAATCTGGATCTGAATCGGAGGCTGTGGTAGACTGGGGGATGTGGCAGTGGTTGGTGCGCCCCCTTTGTTTTGACATGAAACCGCTATGAACACATCAGCGCTACAAACGCGTCTACAAGGCAAACAATCTAATGACAACGGCGCTCTCTTGTTTGTATTCGTGTCGTGGCGTCCTATGTTTGTGTGTGAAATTTATATTTATTGCCTTCATTATGCAGCAGCCGCAGTACCACAGAAAATTCTTCTTCGCTGTGGCAGGTGGCGTGTGGCATGGTCGCATGGTCGATGGCTGATGGTGTCTTCACATTGATGAACTCGAACTAGACCGAGCGAAGACGAGACTTGT